ACTGGAGTGGGTTGCCATTTCCTCCTCCAGGGGATCTTCCTGACCCAGGGATCAAATCTGCATCTCCTGTATCTCCTGCATTGGCAGGCGGGTTCTTTACCACTGAGCCACCTGGGAAGCCCTGCTTATCAAGAGTCTCTCCGTGAATATAGGTGCATTTCCCCACATTCACAGATATTTACAAATAGTTTGTTAGGTCTATGCCATTCCCCATCCTGAGGACGTGTTCCCGTGCGCCTTGTGTAGATATCTGATGTAGTTCGTTTGATTTTCACCTGGAAGGAGTATCTTTTTGTTACCAGTATGCACACGAGGTAGCAGGAAAAAAAATTTACTCTGCCTCAGTTTACATACTCAAAAGAGCACATAATTCAGTATGTCTGCTGTTCTTCACATGGCAAATCAACTTGCTCTTTAACACAGATATTTGATAACTCACACCTGAAAGTGCAAGTCGCTCAGTTGTGTCCAACTCTCTATGACCCCATGGACTAAACAGTCCATAGGATTCTCCAGGCCAGGATACTGGGGTGGGTAGCCGTTCTCTTCTCCAGGGATCGTCCCAAACCAGGAATGGAACCCAGGTCTCCCACATGGCAGGCAGATTCTTTACCGTCTGAGCCAGCAGGGAAGCCGAAGAATACCGGAGTGGGCAGCCTGTCCCTTCTCCAGCAGGTTTTCCTGACCCAGGAATCGAACCAGGGTCTCCTGCACTGCAGGCAGATTCTTCACCAGCTGAGCTATCACGCTTGGCTAGTTGAAAAATCTGTTTTTCCTCTTCCCTTTTCTTCATCAGTGAGAATTTGGTAATAAGACAAAGAACAAAGTACTCCAGTAGTCCTTCCTCCAAAGGCACTTTTTTCCCATCATTATTTCCTATAACAGTGAGTTTCCCCATCAAAACGCCCTGTGCCCGGTGTGGGTCAGCTTCATACAATGCTTGCTCAATCCTTGCTGTACTGGGTTAGTGATTTCATTCCTTACATCCAGACTTACCGAATACAAAATTTCTAACAAATTGCATTTAGTTATTATTGGCTTTAATTTTAGTGTATCTGGAGGAAAAGAAGTCTGGGTGAGAAGTGCCTGAGCACAGGACGCTCCCCGTTTTCTGCCTCTAGGTGACGCTTCTGCTGGCCGTGGACTGTGACAAAGTCGATGTCCCTTGGGTAGAAGCTGAGCGGATAGAAAGTGAGAGCGTGAGCAGGACAGTCGTCAGGAAACTAACCTTTACTGACCGCTGACCAGGGTGCATTGAGCACTGAATTAAGTCCTTTACGTACTTTCTTAGAACTGTCTCTTCTGGCTATGCCGGGTCTTCGCTGCTGGGTGGCTTTCTCCAGTCGCAGGAAGGGGCTACTTTCTAGCTGCGAGGCGCAGGCTTCTCGTGCTGATGGCCTCTCTCGTTGCGAGCACAGGCTTGAGGTGCACAGGCTGAGTTGCACGTAGCCTGTGGAATCTTTCTGGGCCAGGAATCAAACCGTTATCCTCTGCATTGGCAGGCAGATTCTTAACCATGGACCACCAGAGGAGTCCCTTTATATATTTTCTTATATTAATATTTAATCTGGTAGCTTAGCTGGTAAAGAACCCGCCTGCAATGCCGAAGTCCCCGGTTTGACTCCTGAATTGGGAAGATCCCCTGGAGAAGGGACAGGCTACCCACTCTAGTATTCTTGGACTTTCCTGGTGACTCAGATGGTAAAGAGTCTGCCTGCCCTGCGGCAGACCTGGGCTCCATCCCTGGGTTGGGACGATCCCTGGAGGAGGCAAGGCAACCACTCCAGTATCCTTGCCTGGAGAATCCCACGGACAGAGGAGCCTGGCCGGCTACAGTCCACGGGGTTGCAAAGAGTTGAACACGTCTAAGAGACGAAGCACATCACAGCAATCCTAACCCTAGTCGTATGAGGCAGGAACACATTTCTTAAGTAAGGAAGCTGAGGGCGGGGGCAAGGGATGGAAATATCTATTGAGTACAAACCGTATCTGGGTTCTGTACTAGGTACCATACCTTCTGTACCCTTCAGTCTGTACCCTTCATGACCTTTACAGCCCTCCTTGATGAAGTGATGGCTCTTAGAACATTTAACTTAAATGGTAGAAGAGAACCCTAATGCAGGTGGCTATTCCTCCCAAACGTGTGTCCCTTTTCAGCTTACCAGGCAGCCTGCCAGCCATGTCCAACTGACACAGATTTTAAGATTTTAAAAAGGAAGTACTAGATATATTTCTCTTTTTTATTTCATTCATTTTACTTTCATCTTTAGGTGGTGTTTTTTTTTTTAACTTTTATTTATTCATTTTTTGACCTCACTGCACAGCAGGTGGGATCTTAGTTCTCTGACCAGGTGTGGAGCCCGTACCCTTGCTTTAGAAGCTCAGACTCTCTTTACCACTGGATGGCCAGGGAAGTCCCAGATAGATTTCTTGAAATGACTGAAATACAAACACCTTTGAGTAGAAAAACACTTCGGAGCAACTAAGAAAACAGTGTGAATTTGTGTTTTCTCTACGTGCTGCTTCTTAATGAATTTTTACCTGACCCTCAGTCCCTTTAAATTCTCTGTTAGACTTTTGAGAATTGCTCTCGTTTTATTTACTCTCCCCCAGACGATGAAGCCTCAGGCAGCTTCTCGGTCACTCTCATCATACAGCGCTCTGCTTCCTCCCGATGAGCTGGTCTCCACATGTGAAATCCCTGGGACGGGCGGGGAGGAGCGGTGTCAGCAGACTTCCCGTCACGCTCCTCTCAGCAAGCTGCAGGGAGATTCTGTCTCTTATAGTCACTTCTTGTTGAGGCAAAACTGGCAAATAAATGTATACCATGATGATTTCCTGTCCATATCCATTATGCAATGATTACTGCAATCAAGTTAATATATCCATTACTTCACATCGTTACCTTTTTTTTTGCAAATTTTATTTTTAGCAAATTTCAAGTCTAAGTGACATCATAGAGTATCTCTTTCTCTGTCTGGCTTATTTCAGTTGGCATAATGCTTCCAGATTCATCCATAAGGTTGCAAATGGCAGAATTTCCTTTTTTGTCTAAGGCAGAATAATATTACATTATGAATATATGCATCACATCTTCTTTATCGATTCATCCACAGATGGGCGCTCGGGTTGCTCCCATACCTTGGCTATTATAAATAGTGCTGCAGTGAACTTGGGGGTGCAGATACTTCTCTCCGATATTGATTTTGCTTCCGTCAGATATATTCTCAGAAGTGGTATTGCTGGGTCCTTTGGTAGTGCTAATTTTAATATTTTGAGGGCCCTCCTGCTCTTTTCCGTAGTGGCTGCACGAATTTACATAACCACCAACAGTGTGCAAGTGTTCCCCTTTCTCCACTTTCTTGCCAACATTTTTTATCGTTTCTACCTTCTCTATCTTCAAAGAACTGTACAATCAAAAGCCTTTTTCAATTAATGTTTTTCTTCAAATCAGCATTGCAAACCACCCCTCCCACCAAATTTCAACTTTGTAAATAAAAGAAAGCGCCTCAGAGATATAGGAGCTTGTCAGTCGAAATTCAGTGGGCTAAAGTAGGTTTTATTTTACTGATAATTTTGGTCTACAGTATTTAAGCTTGCAAGAGAAAATAAGCTTTTGGACTTCTTCTGTACAATTTTTAATACAGAGGTAACAAGCCCTTTGCCTACGAAAAGAACTCTCCCATCCACCAAGTGAATAACACCTGGAATTCTACTAGCAACTGATGAACTGTTTCTTTCTCTATTGAAAGAAAAGGCTGAAAATGCAAATATCCTGGAGACAAGTAACATTTCCTACATTGTACTCATGCTCTCCTGCAAATTAATGATAGGAGAGTCTCTCCCAAAAGGAGGTTGGATATGGAGGAGAAGGAGGACGCATAGGAGATCCGAGTGTTTAAACGGGGCGAGTGACAGGGAGGAGCCAGCCCTCTCAGAAGGCAGCGCCCAGACCGGTTGCCCTGTTGGCCCTGGCCTGCTAGAAAGGATGGACCGTGGGAGTCACGTTTTATGCTGAATCTGTGTTCTAAAGTCGGCGTGAAATCGCGTCCAGTAAAAATCACTTTTGAAAATCACTTTGATCTCCCGTTAAATGCAGTTCTCTTCCATGTCTGAAGAAGTCCAGCATCACTGTGCTTCTTCAAGCTTTTCAAAAATTTTTATTTGATGGTTCCTTTTTATTTTGGCTGTGCGGGGTCTCCGTGGCTGCTCTGGAGCGCCCTCTAGTGGCGGGAGCGGGAACTGCTCGCCCATTGCCGCTCGGGCTTCGCTGCGGGGCTTCCCTCGTGGAGGCCGGGCTGCAGGCCTCCGTCGTGTGGCTCACAGGCTTCGTTGCCCCGAGGCACATGGCATCTTCCTGGACCAGGGGTCGACTTGGTGTCTTCTGCAAGGCAAGGTGGATTCTCGACCCCCAGAGCCCCAGGGAAGCCCTCTTTTTCAACCTTTACACAGACACACAGATTGCTACTTCTTTAGCGAGTCCCATGGTTGTCTGCTTGCATTTGGAGACTGAGTGCATGAGAAAGGCACACCCAGAAGTACATTTTTCTGCAGCCAGATACTCCAGAGTACAAGAAAAATGGTGTGTGTGGGGGCAGGGGGAGGGAGCTAAATCCAGCTCAGAAAACAACAGATTTCCTTTCTTGTCTCACGCTTGTGCTGGGTCATATGTATTAGCGGTGGGGGTGGGGGTTACACACCATTTAAAATTGTTCTCTCAGTCCTTTCCGTATCTTCCTTTTTGGTCTAAGTGTCTGAACAGTCAACCGATGCCCAGCTCTTGGCCGCTGTATTCATCTCCCTCCACCACGGGTGAGGACCTGAGTGAGGAGGGGGCAGAAAACCATTGTGAACGTTAGGGTATCCTGGATCCTCGGGTTCCAGATCAGAAAAGTGACAGCAATTCAAGCAAATCACCAGCTGGAGCTTTTTCTCAAGTGACGTGTCAGGTGGATACTGTAGCTTCCATTTTGATCATTTCTCCCTCTTCTTCTCAACAGGCTGGTCCATTCTGGTTCAGGAAAAGGATCACCCCAGGCTGGTGTGGATCTGTCTTTTGCAACGCGAACTGGTACTCAGCAGGGGATTGAAACACATCTCTTCAGGGCCGAGGTCAGCAGGGACCTCTCACACTGGACACGGAGCATAGTACAGGGCAGTCACAACTCGGCGGAGCTCACTGCGGAGGTCAGCACAGGTGCGCACCCGGCTTTGGGCTCCTGGCGTCGCAGCCTTATGGGAGGGGGCACCCTCCACTGCATCATGGCCTCGTCGTAGATTCCATTACTGGCTCCTCTTGGGGTACTTAAAATTCCAGAGGTGAACTTAAATTTCAGAGATACATTTCAAATTCTTCTAAATTAAGACACTAGTAATGCCCTACTAAAATGGGACCTAGAAAGCAGTCCCTCTCGCCACATCTAGAGAAAGGCCAAGAGTAGCGATGAAGACCCAGTTCAGCCAAAAATTAATTAATTAATTAAACACTTTTTTAAAAGCTTAAAAAAGAACAGTGATGCCAGGCTTCTTGAGACATGGGAGAGAACTACACTTTATGGGAGATTAAAGGGATCTTCATGAGTGATTTTTACTGGATGTTATTAGTACATTTAGTAATGCTCTACTTGTCCAGTTCTAACTGTTGCTTCCTGACCTGCATACAGGTTTCTCAAGAGGCAGGTCAGGTGGTCTGGTATTCCCATCTCTTTCATAATTTTCCACAGTTTGTGGTGATCCACACAGTCAAAGGCTTTGGCGTAGTCAATAAAGCAGAAGTAAATGTTTTTTTTTTTTTCTGGAACTCTCTTGCTTTTTCGATGACACATCGGATGATGGAAATTTGATCTCTGGCTCCTCTGCCTTGTCTAAAACCAGCTTGAACATCTGGAAGTTCTCGATTCACGTATTGTTGAAGCCTGGCTTGGAGAATTTTGAGCATTACTTTACTAGCGTGTGAGATGAACTTAAAAGTAAATAAATGAAAGATGGGTTATCCATCAACATGCAGCAGGGTTTCTCCTCATCTCCTTCATTTGTGCAAACATGAAAAACCAGATATTTTGTAGAACTTCTACTGCAGCATCTCCGAGATGATCAACATCCTTTAAAAACTATCCTGGGCCCCCCCTGGTGGCTCAGTGGTGAAGAATCCGCCTGCCAATGCAGGAGACAGGGGTTCGATCCCTGGCCCAGGAAGAGTCCATATGCCAAGGAGCGCCGGGGCCCACGCACCACAGTTCCTGAGCGTGCGCTCTGGGGTCTGGGGGACACAGTCCTGGGCCCCATGCTGCACCTGCTGAGGCCACGCGCCCACGAGCCTGTGCTCGGCAACAAGAGGCGCCCCGCAATGAGCAGCGCGCACGCTGCCAGAAGGAGCCCCCTCGACAAGAGGCGCGCAGGCTGCAAGGCGGAGGAGCCCCGCTCACCGCAACTGGAGAAAAGCTGCACAGCCGCGAAGCCCCCGCACAGCCAGAAATCAATCAATCGATCAATCAATAAAGTTATTTTTAAAAGTTATCCTGAATATGGTTAGTACTCCCAATATTTTCCAGCATTTTTGAAAATGTTTCTTGATGTGTCACTGAAGTTTTCATTTTTGACACGTATTCTGTCTGGCAAGCAAAACTAGAGTTTTGAACCTGAGAAATGTTAAAGGCTCAAGTCACCTGAAAACGAAATTTCCTGAAGTTGTATGTATGTTTGCAGGAAAGAAAAAAGTGGCCAGAGGGGGCTGGTTTAGTTTACAGTCCACACATTTCATAAAGTTCTCTCTATAAGCTGAAATCTACTTTGACAGAAAAACAATGAGGCTGTTGATCGACCAACCCAAGGAAAACAACAAAGAATTGTGCAGCGTGAGCGAGCAGAGCGGTGGGAGAGAAGAGTTATGGAAATGACCGAAGCCCAGTTTCAGATGCAAAGATGCCTGCAGGGAGCTGGAAGGAGGGGCTGGCATTTTCCTCAGAGCCTCAGTTAGCTTGATAATGCGTTCAATTTATCCTGTGTAGATTAAGAGTGCCTTCAGATAACCGATTCCATTATCTCAAGGCCACAAATACCACTTTGGGTCAATTAGAATTAAAAGGAATCACGATCAGTTAATTAGACCATCCAGTGGCATAGCTTTAAAGTTCAAACAAAGAGGAAAGGGGAAAAACACGTTTAGAGCCCAGTTGCCCACATTCTGCAACGTTAAACGGTGTCAAAAATGAAGATTCAAAGCAGGAAGCCGTGGATAGATGAACCTGTGCGTAGGGCAGGGACAGACACACACGTGGAGAACATCCGCGTGGACACGGCGGCGGGGACTAGCTGGGAGAGCGGCTCTGACACACGCGCGCACACACGCACACGACTGTGTGCACGCCGGGGCCGCTGAGAGCCTGCGCTCTGCTCACGGAGCTCAGCTGCGTGCCCTGCAGTCAGCCAGGCGGGTGGGATGCGGCTTGGGGGTCGGAGGAAGGTCTCAGAGGGAGCGGGTATGCGTGTGTGTAACTGATTCACTGCATTGTGCAGCAAACAATAACGCAATGTAAAGCAGTTATACCCCATTAAAACCAACGTAAAAAGATGGGACGCGTCACGGTGGCTGGGCTGCCTCCGCGCTGCGGGCTGGTCAGCCCTGAAGCGGACGGGCGGTGGAGACCCAGGCCCCCGAGAGGACATGTGGGCGCTGCCACGGGGCTCTGCCCAGCACTCGCAGCTCCGTTAGAGAAGCCGTCTTCGGAAAATGTCAGCCCTTAGTTACAAGTTGAAAGATGGGCTGAAAGGAAAGAGTATGTTTTAACCAGTTAAAAGCCTCTTCATTCTGAGAGCAGAGAGACAGCCTGTTTGTCCCACCGCGTTAAGACCCGCAGCGTCTCTCGCGGGATCCCTGTCCGGCCCCTCTGCATCCTGCGCCGGAGCGGGACCCCGAGCGGAGGGAAGGGCTGGATCCGGCATCGGAACCGCCGGGCTGGGACGTGCTCACCTCTCTGAGCTTCGCTTTTTTCACTCCTCGTACTAAGCTTCCCAGGGGCGGTGGGGTGAAACTCATTCGGTTTATAAAGCTGAGTTAGTGATGGTGTAATCAATACTGCCTTCATCTTTGCGCCTCCCTCAGAAAGGCGGTGTCTTGGTTTCCCTAAAGAGCTTTCAGATGTATATGAAGGCCAGAGCCAGTTGAGTTACCAGGGTCTGTTAAAAGTGGGGTTTGTAAGACAAACGAACAAAAAAATCCAATCGCTCCTTAATCACCTTTCCCAGAACTCTCTGCTTTATTTTCGGGGCTGTGCGTTTTGAGGGATCTTATTTCCCCAACCAAGAATCGAACCCTTGGCCTGACAGGAGACCTAACCATCAGACTGCCAGGGAATTCCCTCCAGAACGCTTTAGTGAAGGGTTTTAACACTCACAGGTCTCCCTAACAGAAACTTGGAATCGGGAGGCAGGCCCGCTGCTCTTAATCGGAAAGGGCTGGTCTGCTCCTTTGCACCGCGATCTGCAGCAGTCGCTTCTCCATGACCCACGATGATCAGATCATCAGGGAAATTCCAAAAGCTCGCCTTTCTGTTTATAAAAGGAGCTTTGACTTTTTAAAATGAAAACTCAGGTTGGTTTTTAACAGCTCGCTGCTGGCTTCTTACATGTGTTTTTGTTAACTTGGGTAATATCACTGGGGGAGTGATTGCTTCTTTCATTGGGTGACAGGTGCTGCATTAATTGATTGGTGATTGATTCATTTATAGATTGCGCGCGCGTGTGTGTGTGTGTGTGTGTGTGTGTGTGTATGATGATGAAGACAACGATCAGAGGTAGCTTACTCTAAATAAAAAATGTCAGGGACTTCTCTGGTGGTTCAGTGGCTAAGGATCTGCCTTGCAATGCAGGGACTCAGGTTGCATCCCTGGTTGGGGAACTAAGACCCCACGTCCCTGGGGGCCACTGAGCCCCCATGCCAGAAAGAGAGAAGCCCCCCGGCTACAGAGAAGACCCCTCATGCTGCAACGAAGACCCGGTGCAGCCAAATGGTTTTTTTAGGGTCAGTTCCTTCTCCAGCTTGAGACAGGGCCATTGGAACACCTGTCTCCCTAGATACAAATCAGATGATTACATTAGGGCTAAAGCCCAGATAAAATGCAGTTAATCTCAGCAAAAGGAATTTCTTTCTGTTTATTTCCCTTCATTTCATGGGACAAGTTAAATGACAATATCATAATCTAAGGAGAATACTTTCATGCACATTATTAATTTTTAACTTTAGAAAGCAGCTCTGTGGCTGGGCCTGGGGGTGGGGAGACGAGGTTAAGTGCCAAGGAGAAGGGACGCCCTTCCACTGCTCATTACTCACCCTTCCTTCTCTGTCTTTCTCTCAGCTTGCACCTACAAAAACCAGGAGTGCCGGCTGACCATACATTATGAGAATGGATTTTCGATTACCACTGAACCACAGGAGGGGGCCTTCCCCAAGACAATCATACAGGCTCCTTATGAAAAGCTGAAAATGTCTTCAGATGATGGAATCAGGATGCTGTATTTAGATTTTGGAGGCAAAGATGGAGAGCTTGTGAGTACACTTTTCTTTAGACTGTGATTTCGTGTATTTCGTGTATGTGCAACTCACCCATACTGGCTCGCAAACATAATACTGCCTTTTATTTATTTAACATTTGATTATTAACAAAGTATTTACAGGTTCATGTCTTAATGGATCCTTGCAAAATAGTGATGGCATCCAATTTTTTCAGCCCTTTACTTTGGTCTCATTTGAATATTACAGAAATATTTGAGTCAAAGGAAAGGATCCTTTATATAGTCAGCATTCGATTCTTCTCAGAGAGGGCCCCACCACCGTCAAAATGTACCATTCATTGTTTAAAAGCCTCTGATCTAAACTGGGCGTTGTGCGAGGTGTCAGGGATACACGGATGTAAAATGCCGGTCCTGCCCATGGTCTCCGAGGTCTCAGGAGTGCAGAAGGTGAAGAACCCAGAGGGGAAGGGGCAGCCAGGAAACCCAGCAGTGCTGGCCAGCTCCCCCACGCAGAGAGAGGACCAGACAAGGACCGGGAACTGGGAGCTTGTCAGGAGGCATCCAGCAAAACCAGTGACTTTGTCAGTCAGGGTGACATACTTCTTCTATCATTGCAGATTGCCCATGTGTTTAAAATCATGATTTCCTCCGATGTTACCGACTACCATAATGAAAAAATACATCACTCTACTTCCTCTGAAGAGTGGAAGTCACACTTGCCTCCACTTTCTAGCAAGGGTAGTTCTCAGGAAGACACGGCATCTCATTTAAGCTGTGGAACATAGAGCTGCAAAAAAGGACTTTGATTTGGAAAAGCCGGTCTCAGTCTAGGTCCTTCCTAGTCATTGGCTTAGTCAGCAAATATTTATTGACTCATACTTGATAACCTAGATGGGGGTGGATACATAAACTGCAGAGACAAATCTCTAACAACAAGACCCAGTCATTGCAGCTCAGCCTTGGGCTTGCGTAACTCTCCCGCCCTCCCCCGGGCTCCCCTGGCGGCTCACTGGTGAAGAATCTGCCTGAAGTGCAAGAGCCTTAGGAGACGGGGGTTCCATCCCTGGGTCAGGAGACCCGCACGGCAACCCCCTCCAGTGTTCCTGCCTGGAGGACCCCATGGGCAGAGGAGCCTGGCGGGCTGCAGTCCACGGGGTCGCACAGAGTGGGGCACGCCTGAGCGCCCCTCCCGCCCCCACTCCCGTCTCTCGGAAGGAAAGGCCACACTTAAAAGAGCATGCTAAGCCCATGCTCCGCAACTGAGACCCGGTGCAGTCAAAATAAATAACTAAAAATTAAAGAAAGGGTTTCTATGGGTCCTGAGGCGCTTCAGTCCTGTCCGACTCTGCAACCCCGTGGACTGTAGCCCGCCAGGCTCCTCTGTCCACGGGCTTCTCCAGGCAGGAACACTGGAGCGGGTTGCCATTTCCTCCGCCAGGAGATCTTGTACATATATGTACATATATGTATAGCCGAATCATTTTGCTGTACAACAGGAATTAACAACACTGTAGTCAACTATACTTCAATAAAAAGAAAAATTAAAAATGAGATTAAAAAAAAGAATTAGGAGCAACACAATGCTCTTGAACTAGGTCAGGAGATTAAAAACTCAGCCTGTTAGGCCCTGACCTTGTGCCGGCCCTATAGGGACGCACAGGGAAAAGCCGCCTTCAGAAGGAGCCTCAGCAGACGGTGCTGGAGGCGCTTACGACACCACGAGCTGTGAGGACGCGGCTGCACGTAGTGTAGCTTCTGTATTTTCTGGTTTGCGAGGGATTTCCACCTGCGGTATCTCATCTTAACACTCTACCCTGTAAGTTAGGTTGGACTGAGAATACTTTTAAATGAATTGTCCAAGATTATGTACATACCTGAAAAGTGTTAGAACCAGGACTCAGATCTACGATGGGAAACTTAGCACTGCCTCATGCTGTACCTCATCCAACATAAATAATCGTGATACCAAAAGTAAAAGGTTTAGACAGTCAAGAGCAGCACTGATATGTACACTATTGGTTTGTATAAATTTCACAGAACTTGTTTTGGGAAATAAGATATATGAGATGTAAGGAGTAAGTTCGAAGAGTTGTTTTTTTTAACCTCATTGGGGGCAAGGATTTAAAAACACCGTTGCTCCAGTTAACACTTAAAAGCAGGAAGCGCTTGGCTCTGTTTGATGTGTAAATCAGTATTTTGTGTCAAGCATTCATTTAAAATTTTTCCTGTTCTCTTCTTTTTAAATTTCAGCAACTGGACCTGCACTCCTGCCCCAAGCCAATTGTCTTCATCCTTCATTCCTTCCTGTCAGCTAAGATCACAAGACTGGGGTTGGTGGCCTGAGCAGAGGGGCGAATGACCTCTGAGCAGAGGCGGCTTCGGCACCCCCAGGACAGCGTCGTGTCGGACAGCATCCGCAGTGCCCGCCAGGTGCAGCACATCAGCTTCAGACCCCGAGCCCCGAGCAGCAGCGTCCAGCTTCCCCGTCAGTTCCCGCAGCTACAAAGGGTACCCTCAGAAAACACAGCGAGGCCTCAGAGTGGAACTGTTTTTTTAGCACAGTAAAAGGGTAGAGAGGTGAGGCTGATTGGAAACACACAGCATAGCTCTTAGATAATGACAATCAAGGACATGCTACTGAAACAGCATGTTCGGCTCTTAACCATACAGCTTCTAGACAACTGGTTCACCCGCTAAGCCAGGGCTGAACAGATGAGAAAAGGATGTTTCCCACCTCCCCCTTCCCCACCCCAGGAGTAAGGACCCCTGGTTTTACTGTGCTCTATTTCCTACTTCTAACTGAGTTGACTTCACTGGTAAGGAAAGTACTCAAATGGAAACCCACCTTTTATTTAAGTATGAAGCAGCTGTTACTTTTTCTTAATGAATTACCTTTCACTGATGTAGGATGATTCCGCAGTGTTCTTGTGAGCATATGATGAGTGGGAATTAACGCATCAGATACTTAGCTGTAAGCCAGTAGAGTCTGAGCCAGAGCAGACTGCTTAAACTGCAAAGCTTTGCTGAAGAGTGGTTTGCGTGAAAGAATTAATTCTGGGACTACACTCATACCAAGGCCTGCTATTTTAGAGCCATGACTTAGAGCTTTATTTATAGAAAGCAAATTATGGATTTTTTTTAAAACAAGATTGTCATTTGAGAGAGATATATATATATAATAATTCACGGCAGGTTAACTAATTATACCCATTTTGTGGTTTTCAGTGGAAGTGCTGAGCAATGTATTGGCCCTTATTTCTGCCTGTGCTGTATGCATGCATTTTCAAGCAAGTAATAGAGCCTCATATGATTCTGTTTAATGCTGGGTTTTACATAGAGAGCCAGTGTTATAACCAAACCCATGAATAGCACTCTCAGCTCTTTTGGAATTCCAGGGAAATAATATAATGACCTGATATTTTTCTACAAGAATATTTTCAGACAGCATAGTGAAGTCGCTCCGTGGTGTCCGACTCTTTGTGACCCCACGGACTATAGCCCACTAGGCTCCTCTGTCCATGGGATTTTCCAGGCAAGAATACTGGAGTGGGCTGCCAACTCCGTCTCTAGAGGATCTTCCCGACCCAGGGATCGAACCTGGGTCTCCTGCATTGCAGGCAGACGCTTCACTGTCTGAGCCGCCAGGGAAGTCCCCGATAGCACAGTCTTATTGATTTAACACTTTTATCTTTCAAAACACATTCACTGAAAACAACCTGTTATTTGCTTTTAAAATCATTTTCCTCAAATCTTGAAAAGTAGCTCTAGAATTTCTGTATTTGCAACACTTCTCTCCTCTGTAGTTTACACAGACAAATGTTCCAGGTTAGATTTGTGTCTTTTCAGAGAGCTTTAAAAAGTGATTTTGTTCACTCAGATGCATGTGTTTATGGGGTTTTACTTTAGACCAGCATTTTATTTTAGATAGGTGTTTCCCCAGAGTAAGACAAGTAACATTAATTCAAGTTCCAAAGGGTATTGACTGAATGGTATTTTGTGTAGAGGGAAATAAAAGGGTTAGTAATCAAAAACTGTTACATACTGCATTAAAAAATGTTAAGAGTTCATGGTTGCAGCCCTCTTCAAACACTTTATTGTACATTGCAATTCTGCAGGGGAAATGATCCTAACACATAGGGATGATCCTATGTCATTCCTAACACATCTACAGAACTACTTTCTAAGACATCTTATGAAAACTAGTGTTTAAACACACACACACACACACACACACACACACACACAAAACAATCACTTTGGAAAACATAGCTTTAACACTGATTTTGTTTTGTTTCCTATTTTAAAATGCTGAAGAGTGAAGTCCCAGCCTCAGTGTTGTAGGAAAGCTATGATGCATCTGTAAATTGTAACACACTCTTTCATGATATATTTTCAAAATCACTGGAATGTTGTTATACAAGAGAACTATACTTGTGTATTGTAAATAACATGAAAATACAGATATTAATGCCAATAGTTTAATTCAACTATGTAATCTAAGGTGCTCAGTACCACATGAAGTGTGAGTTAATTACTCATAATTAAGTTGCAAAGATCTTATTATATATTTATAGACATTAAAATGATCATAATTACAAATACTGTTTCTTCATCACTTGAGTTTTAGACTGATTAATATCTGGGTGGGGGTCAAAAGAAACTACATTCTCTGCATTTATAAAAGTTTAATTTAAATATTTATATTTTAGAAAAATATATTTGAATAAAATCAATGCATTTTCTGAATTAAAATATTAGTAAGAAATAGCAAGAATAGAAATAAGAATTGTGTATATAAATCATTTTTCTTCCTCAAAATTAAACTGTATATCAGAGTAGCTATGATGAATCAATTCAAATATTCATCTTTCCTCCTTCAATTCAAATTCAACCAGTTATTGCTTCACACTGTAGATTCTAATCTTGTCTTGAGGTGTGTTATGAGTGATGTGAATAACACAGACTTGTACGTCTGGATCATACCTGGGTGCGGAGAACAAGTCAACTGTCATTTTGGGGGATTTGTTTTTGTCCAATTCCCTCTGTGATCAATCTGTCTCATGTTTGAACTGATGAATTATTAAATTCACAATGTCTGTTCTTTTAGGTGCAAACTAACCTAATGAATGATGTCTTAAACTAGACCTTGAGGGAAGCTGCCCAACTGTTAATTAGGTGAGCCCTGTGGTGTGGTGACAGATCTCTAAATCATCCCATGGGAATTTAAAGAAACCCAACAGGAATGCAGATATCAAGTTTCTTTTTCTGACTTGACTAAGTAGGAGAAACAAAACTATAAATCTATTTTAAAAACCATTCAGGCAGAGACATTTAATTAATTGTATCAATTGATGCACTGAAGTGCTAAAAAAGAAAATGCATGTTGCTTTGTCCAAAAGCTTGTTGACCCTGCTTGGTTGAAGTTAGAAGGAACTGCTCTTAATGGGCAGGAGTCCTCTACAATTAATGAGTGGGGGCCTTTCTGGCCCTTGTTTTACAGATATTAGACATTCTATCTTGAGGGGACTGGAGTGGACTGGGGTGAGGAAGTGATTTATGAATGTACCATGAGTTTATAAAATGTGCCTATGTTTATAGCACTGTGGCTATCCTGTAAAATTTATATATGAATTAAATAAATAGTCACCTCTGCGTACACTGGGCTGGCCAGTGCATTTCCTTAATAGCCACACAGGGATATGGGAGCGTAAAGACACATCTTGCTGGTCTCTCCCTCCAAGATTGGCCTAGAAAGGCGCTAACAGTGCGGGTGGGGGTGCCACTAGCCATTTTGTGTGTACAGTTTCATGTTGCGTCTCCGCCTGGGGCTTAGGGCTTTCAAGTCTCATTTTAACTACATTTTCATGGAATTTTATCTATACACCAAGCTCCAAATACTCAAATTATCTTTACTACCATAACTTGGTTTGTGTTCAAGTTACTTGTAATAAATACAACAGGCTGGGGTTAAGAAGTCTTCTACTATTTGAAAACCGGAAAAAATATGTGTAAATCATAGATAAGGGACTAGGATACAGAAACTATAAAGAACTCTTACAACTCAACAATAAAAAGAGAAATAATCCCACTGAGAAGTCCTTAAGAAAGGATCTGGTGGACATTTCCCCGAAGGAAAATATCCAACTGGCCAATAAGTGCATGAAACGATGCCCAACATCGTTACTCTCCAGAGAAATGCAAGTCAGAGCCATGATGAGACATCGCCTCACACTTCCTGTCAGCTGTCAGAAGATAAATACTGACAAGAATCAGCAAGGAGGTGGAGAAATTGGAGCTGCTGATGGAAAAGTCAAATGGTATAGCTGCTGTGGAAAACAGTCTGCCATTTTCCCAAAAATTAAACAGATACTACCTAGTCAAGCAGTTCCACTCCTAGGCATACGTCCAAGGTAATGGAAAATACATGTGCCAAAACTCGTACACAAACGTCCACAGTAGCATTATTCATGATAGCCCAAAGGGGGAATCAGCCCAGTGTCCATCGACTGATGAATGGATAAACAGCTGTGACAGGTTCATACAATGACATGCTGATTCATGCTACAACACGGGTCAGCCCTGAACAACACCTCATGCAGAGAACCTGCCTGCCAATGACGAGACATGGGTTCCATCCCTGGGTCAGGAAGATCCCCTGGAGGAGGGAATGGCAACCCACTCGAGTATCCTTGCCTGGAAAATGCCACAGACAGAGGAGCCTGGAGGGCTGCAGTCCAGAGTCTGAGACTAAACAAGTAAGAGAAGCCAGATACAGAAGACCATACACTGTACTAGTCCCTATCCGTCCAACGTCCAGAACAGGCAAGCCCAGAGAACAGAGGAAACGCGTGCCTGCCAGGGGTGAACAGAAATGACTGCTCATAGATACGGAATTTCTACTGGGGTGATGGAAATGTGCGGGAATTAAGACGGTGGTTAGGGTTAGGGTTAGGGTTAGGGTTACACTAAAACCTACTAGATTATATACCATAAGGGGTGAATTTCATAATGTGTCAATTACATCGCCAATAAAGATAAAACTTGTGGGCTTTCTGTGTATCCACAGTTACAGTCTAGTCTACCGCATCCACCAGAGAGGGCCTCTTTGGCTGTCGGAGTGCTGTGGGGCAACACCCTTAAGAGTCATAAAAGTCGTTTTGTCTTGCTGAAAGGGTCTACTTAAAGTATTCCTAAGGTTTTAATGAAGCGATTTATCACTGCACCTTTGGTTTGATCTTGAGGCTATTACTTACTTGGAGAACCTTTTGCCACTGGAGATGAAGTGGGAAAACATTTCATTTTCCAATCCAGAATGTTCTAAGTCTTCAGTATCTCCCCAAATGCTGCTAGAAAACCGAACAGTCTCTCCTCTAGTTGATCTATCTCATCCTGTGCCTTTATGGTTTTCAGCCATATAAGCAAACAAATGACTCATGGACACTTTTAACACTGTTTGGAACTAACCTTAAATAGATCCGTGAGTTCATCTGGTACTTCTCTTCTCCAGGCTGTATGTGTGTGCTTAGTCACTCAGTCGTGTCTGACTCTCTGCGACAGGCAGGAACGCTGGAGTGGGTTGCCATTCCCTTCTCTAGGGAATCTTGCCCACCCAGGAATCGAACCCGGGTCTCCTGCACTGCAAGCAGATTCTTTACCGTCTGAGCCACAGGGAAGCCAGCTTCTCTTTTCCAGGTGATGTACACGACAATTTTCCCAAACACGCCATCACTGTGGGACAGGCTGAGCTGGCCTGGCCCTGTGGCTCCCTTTTTCTCTAAGGCCCTCACAAGGAGAGGAAGTTCTAGGCATTACTCCCAGCACAGGCATCACCGTCAGAACAGCAATGCCTGCGCTCTGCTCTGTCCTCCCTCCTGTCTGCCCTCCGAGGTCCCGCACACGGGTGTCCTACAGACAGACAGGCCCAGCGGCGGGGCCTCTCCTGGGCACAGGCGCACGGCACGCGCAGCTGGCTTCGGCCCCGCCTGCAGCTTCTCCCATGAGTTCAGTCCGTGCCAGAAACGGACCCGAAGTCTCTGGGCCTTTCAGGGATCGCTCCTGCGTACCTGCTTTCACATTTATCTCAAATACCTTAAGTCACTGTTTACTTTGAAGCATTTTTGTGGTGATGGTTCAGTGGCTAACTCGTGTCCGACTCTCGCGACCCCGTGGACTGCGGCCTGCCAGGCTCCTCTGTCCATGGGATTCTCCAGGCAAGAACAATGGAGTGGGTTGCCATTTCCAGTATATTTACGGAACAGTCACAAAAATTAGTAAGTGTGAGCACAGCATTGAAGTGAAGGTGACACAGTATACTCAGACACCCACAGATTACACTCTGAAAGAGCTATACTAAGGAGTAACCAGTGATGCACCAGAAATATTCATTTACGTTTCATTTACAATAAGGAAACATTAAACTCATATGTCCAACAATGCAGGAGTGGTTAACTAAACTGATTCATTTGAATCATGCAGTTATTAATGATATGATATAAAATGATATGATATATTATTGTTATATCACATTGTTAAGTGAAAAGCAGGCTATAAATTAATATACATACATATCACACATACTAATACACATACATAAACACACATATATGACTGCAATTTTGAAAATAAATATAATGTTGAAAAATATTAAATACCTGTAGACAGAACAGTATTGGAATTTTTTCCATTCTCCTTAGTATTTTGCACATTTTCCAAATTTACTGTCATGGGAAAAGATGTTTTTTTTTCTAGGAGTAGGTACTTAAGTCATTTGCACTACGTCTTATTTTCACAATTTTTCCTCTTTTTTTCATCCCAAATAAACATAAATAGCTCCAACAGCGGTGGCCCCCGGAGAAGGGGTAAGGGAACATGACTAAGTATATGAATTTTTTTGCCAATATTTTCTAGACCAAGGGTCATCCAATAAATCAAGCTGTTGTAACACATGAGAAAAGACACTGGCAATGTCTTTCTTAAGACTCAGCAGTTTAAATATACCTAACAACAAAGACATTTACCAAGAAGTAAAGAAATATCTTTTTCTATTTATTGAAATAATTAAATAACCAAGAGTAAAATTTTTAAACATATATATAAAAATATTAACTTTAAAAATTAAAATATAGTAAAACTATAAGTATACAAATTAAAATTACATTAACTGAGCAACATTAAAACTATAAAAATACAGGGTATTTATGAAATTCCTTAGAAATGGAACATTAATTCTTTGAATAAAGTTTGAAATTTGTAATTTTCAAACTAAAGAAGAGCTTCATCCAATTTATAATCATCGAAAGGGAATGATTCTGTGTTATTTCTTGCTTGCTTTTTCTAAGACCCATTCAATCACCTACGGGGAGAAAAAATATGATTATGGTACATTCTTTTGAAAACAAAAGCAACAGACAAATACATTGTTTTTTAAAAGAATATGGTAGAAAATTTAAGACAAAAAATAACATATCAGACTCTTCAAAATAATTTCATCTAAAAAACACACTTTACTAGTGGGGAAGGGGAGGGGGAGAGGCAATGCAGCAGGAGGAGACTAAGAAGACAAACTGTCGCGCATAAAATAAGCTACAAGGGTGCCCTGTACTGCGCAGGGCATACAGCCGAAATTTTACAGTAACTGAGTGGAGTATAACCTTTAAAAACTGTGAATCACTGTATTGTACACCTGTAACCTATATAATATTATACATCAACTATATTTTAATTTTAAAAAAGGATTATCAAACACAAAAAAATCAATATAGCATTTACCTCTAGAGGTGATGGAGTAGGATATGGTGGGAAAGAGACTCTTTGGGGCTTCCAGGGTTCCTGAAATGTTTTATTTCTCAGCCTGAATAGTGATCCCAAGGGTTTTCTTTTTTTAAATTGTGTTTCTTTGCATATGTATTTACATATTATATCAAGAATTTTTAAACCGAAAAAAAATCACAGATTTTATTTTCTTGCTAAAGAACATTTTTTGGTGAACTTATGTTGCAGAATACAATCGTAGTGTTTCTCACTGGACAAAATGAAGATACTGCTCTATTTCCTCACCTTTATTTGAAAATATGTTTTTAAAGGATCACTAAAAATAGAATTAAACCAAGCTTTGAAAACAGCTAATCAAAATGGATTAATTTTTCCAGCTCTTTGGATTATTCTTTTTCTTTCTGAACATTAATTTAGAAGCTCTTCTGTTAAAAGAGAAATCTCTTAAATACTACTAAAGACCCTACTTACGTAAGTCCATTATTAACTATTTTAATGAGTGGTCACAGGGACACAGTGGAAAAAACCACTCACTAATTCTCACTGCTTATATAATAGCCTCCTAGCTACCCTGAAACAAAACAGCAACTTAACTGAATGTACTTTCACAGGAACATTTACCTGTACAACATTGTTGTTTGTTGTTTTTTTCATTTCTTCAAATAGACCCCTCGAAGTTTTAAGATCCTAAAGATAACAAAAACAGAGCATTTCAAATCTGTTCATTAAATTACAAAGAACAAGTCATTATTAAATAAACCTGACATGACCCTAAATCATTCTATAATGATCAATGTGAAGAGGGAGAAATCACAGTAAGAGATTATCATTTAATTCCATCCTGGAAGGTCAAAGTTCTCTAGCCAAAATACACCCGTCTGTACATAAGTCCATGCTGCTCTGAGCTCATAAACCCAACAGCAGCGGCCAGACCCGTGCCCATCCTCAGCCGTGCACACGGCTCAGGCGTGTCTGACTCTGCCACCCCGTGGACTGCAGCCCAGACTCCACTGTCCACGGGGTTCTCCCGGCGAGTTCACTGCAGTGGGCTCATTTCCTTCTCCATCGCTGGCGGTGTGTACCCACTAATGCTTCACTGCTCAGGAGATGGACATACAATTTATGTTTATTTTTCAGATAAAACAGCTTTCACCTCTCTCTTCTTACTGGTTATTTCACTCCACACACAGAGGGGATGACACCGGACATAAAACTGAAGTCTCTGACTTTTAAAAAGTTAATGACCTATGACAAGTTAAATCATAAAATTTTTAAAATTCACTTGTATTAAAAAAAAAAGCTGTCCTCTGCTGTGCTTCCAAGACACGCTCCATCGAAGGCGTCACTTCCTTCTTTCTCCTGCTTCTCTTATTCATACCTTCCCGTCTCTACACAACATGCTTATCACTGCTGCTGTGTGTTAACAGTCTCAGACAGTGACTGCTGTCAGCTGGACTCCGGTCTCTGAATCCTCCCACTTCCCTTTCCTTCCTCTCAGGAACAGCTGCACCACAATTTTTTTTTAAATTAGTAAACAGTCAATGTTTGCATTTTATACTTAAGCAAATAAAGTTTACTCCCGAGCTAAGTAACACATTATGGTTATAATTTCTCTCTAACCTAATGTTTTGTTTATCCTGTGGTTGAACTATATTTGCTTAGCTTTCCCCTCACCCCCATAACTCTGATTAAAAACTGATTAAATGGACAGCAAAGTTCTTCAAACTCTCTCGGATACTGGATAATCTCCCCTTTCAGCTTTTTCTTAACTGCATTCTTTAAAAACTGGAGCCCCTTCTCCCGTAGCCTGCTACAGTTTGGTTCAGCTGCTTCCTGGACCTGGTTCCCAGTGGGACACACCTTCCCCGTCTGGGTAGTTTTTTTTTTAATTTCTTGATTCAGCCCCTTGTTCTACTGAATTTCATCTACTCACAAATTCATCAGAAGGGTACACGAGTGACAAGATTTTCAGACCTTTTGTGTCTGAAAGTATCTCTATTGGATCTTCATACTTGACTGACTGCTATGTGTGTTAGTCACTCAGTTGTGTCTGACTCTTTGCGACCCCATGGACTGCAGCTCACCAGGCCCCTCTGTCCATGGAACTCTCCAAGCAAGAACACCAGGGTGGGTTGCCATTCCCTTCTCCAGGGGATCTTCCCAACCCAGGGACTGAAACTGGGTCTCCTGCACTGTCTGAGCCACCGGAGAAGCCCTGTGACTGACTTCTGGGCCAGATATAAAAATACCAGGTAACTCACTTTCCTTCAGAATGTGAGGATGATGTTCTACCATCTGCCATACAAGGCTACTAGAAAAGTCCAATGCCAGCCTTATCCTTGAATCTTTATCTCAACCACTTCTGTCCCGGGAACCTTTCACGGAATGCTCTCTCTCCCCCAGGAGATGGGATCTTCCACAGTGACGGGGCTTGTAGAACTGCCAGCCACCAGGCGGGATGAGCTGTGTGCCCTTTCCAGCAGGAGGTTTGCATCCTCCAGTCTGGAATGTCTTGTATATTTTTGAAGGTTTTCTCTCCTCTCATCTCTATTATGAGCATAATGGATCTTTCAGATAATTCCCCCATTTTCTTACCTCATGTTTAATGTTTTTGTCCTCAGTTTTGTTAGCAATACTAATTCCTGGCAAATTTCTTACTCTCATGGTTGACATACAGTGATTTCATTGTATTTTTAAGGCGATTTCATGTTCCATAGCTCTGGGAAACAGCGTCACATTCCAGTTTTGTACATGCGACTGTCTCCCTCCTGAGACGCCCGGTTTTATGACGCTCTCCTCAGGGTTCTGCTCGTCCCGAGCCCCCTCTGCTCCTTTATGTTCTGACGTCTGCTGTGTCAGAAGCTCTCCTCAGAATTCTGCTGAGGCTTGGCTGTCTGGTCACACAGACATTTTAAAATTGTTTCCGCTGCAGCACACAGCACGTGGGATCTTAGTTCCCCATCCAGGGATCGAACCCATGCTCCCTGGAGCAGAAGCACAGAGTCTTAGCCACCGGGCTTCCAGGGACGTCCCTGTCCAGTCATATTTTAAAATGAGACAATAAAAATCTCACTGGAAGTTCTGTGTGTGCAGAGCTTATCCACTGGCACCTTTATAAAGTAGGGGAATAAGAGGTCATTGGCCTTTTCACTGCGGCCTCCCATGCGTTTCTCCTCCAGAGACTATTTCCCGCACTGTCTCAGGAGAGCAAAGCCGTGCGTAATACAGCCATCCGCAGCAAACGGTGGGGAAAGGCGTGCAGAGCAGGTTGAAGGCTCCCCGTTCTCTCTGCGGACCTCTCTCTAACTCCCGCTTTTCATGGCACTCTGCCCCTGCTTCCACGACACCTGGTGCCCCCAGGCTCCGAGCAGGTCCGAGACCGTGCTGCGTCTGGACTCTCAGCCCCAGGCAGGCACTGAGGCTGCCACTGCTGCTCAGCCACCCCGTGCGTCCACATGCTTCCTGCTCCCACAACATATGAAAACACCGCTACGCTTTTCCTTTCTTCTTTTCTTGGCTTTTGTACTTTCAATACTGTCTTTCTTGAGAGATTTTACAAGGGAACTGAATGTGTTTCATCTATGGTCCACCTGCAGTTTTAATCAAAACCCATGTAAAACTGTGACTCAAGTCAGAAACAGAAAACTGGAGCAAATCTAACACCACCTAAGTTTTACAAAACAGCTGTCTGAAAGGACGGTTTGTCCGTCCTACAATAAGCTATTAGTGGATCCAGAATTAGAAACTGGATGTTTTGATACTCCATCGGGTAGCTTCACTATATACTAAAATTACCTGAGTACATTAAATAAAATAAGCTGAAGCCTATTATCAACTTAAGTCAATGACCTGTTAGGGAAACACTGAGAGTATCAGTTAAGGTATAGTTTTCTATATATGAGACCTAACATCAACCATAAAATATTTTGACTCCAATTTTTCTACCTCCATTAAAAAATATGGCAATAAGTTGTCAGTGTAAAAAATACTCAGTTAATATTATCTTGAGTCAAATAGGAACATTAGAACTTGGCCTGGATTTTGCCAACAGTACAGAAGACGCTATACCTTTAGGTAGAACTTGGAGATCTCAAAGAGACGCTGGCTGCAAGCAGCAAAACATTCGTGAGCCTCCGTCACGCTGTGCTTCTTCAGGGCTTCAGCAACTACTTCTTTCAGTATCTTGAACAGAACAGAACATGACTCATATTTCTTGGAAGAGGTACAAACATATTATTTCAGCTTTAGAGCCGAGTTCTGTAAATCACACAGCCATGTAGCTATGCTAAAGATGGATAAGCTCATTAAGACCAAACCACTGAGAAGAGATTTGAGACAGTGTCACACTCGGGCGTCACAGAGTGTCTGTCAGGCAGAGAGGACTCAAGCATCCGGAGAGAGGAGCTCATGCGCTGAGCTCTGAACCGGCATCAGAACGGGAACGGTATACACGGCAGGGATGTGTATATACAGGTGTGTCCTCATTTTTTATTATGGAAAATTTCAAACACTATAAAGAGAATATTTTGTAACAAATCCTTCTCTCTCTCTACATATATATATATATATATATATATATATGTATATATCAGGACTACATATAAGAGCTGGTTATATATATATATGTCATATTTATATATAAATATATTTATATAAACAAATATAATTATGATTGAAATTATATATTTTATATAAACTTATGTGTATATATATTATATATATGAACTATATATAAGAGCTGGCTATATACATATATAAATATATATATATATGAGGACTAATTTTATATAAGACCTGGCTATATATATATATATATATATATGGACTATGTATAAGAGGTGGTTATATATATATGAGGACTATTTATATAAGAGTTGGCTATATATATATAAATACATATATATGATAACTATATATAAGAGCTGGCTATATATATATAAACACAAATATATGAGACCTATATATAAGAGCTGGCTATATATATATATAAACACAAATATATGAAGACTATATGTAAGAACTGGTTCTATATATATGATGAGTATTTATATAAGAGTTGGCTACATATATATAAACATATATATATGAGAACTATGCGTTAAGAGCTGGTTATATATATGAGGACTATGTGTAAGAGCTGGTTATATATATGAGGACTATGTATAAGAGCTGGTTATATCTACAAATATATACAAGGAGGATCCCTCTGGGGCTCCTTCTGCTCCTTCACACCTCCACTCGCATGTTCCCATTACCCTTCTTTCACTGAACTATTATTATTACTATTCTGGCTGCACCACGGGGCAGGAACTCAGTTCCCAACCAAGGACTGAATCTGGGCCACAGCAATGAAAGCCTGGAATCCTCCCCAAAAGGCCACCAGGGAACTCCTTGGTATGATTTTAAAGTAAATTACAGACCACTTCACTTCATTCATAAACTTTTTTGACAGACATTTGAAACGAATCAAATAAGGACGTGTCTCCCCGTGCAGAACTGAGACAGGCAGGAAGCAGGCCTCTACCCGCGTGTGCTTCTGTGATCGGGATTCTTTCGCAGGCCTTGCTGTCTCTGGTCCGCGCACAGCTTTTTGACCTGAACGGGCCTTGGCAGTGACCCGGGGAGTTTCACTGCTCAGAGCAGAGGGACACGTGACAGGTAACGGTCGCTCTGCCCGCGGTTTGCTGGATGGGACCTCATGGTGATGGCGAGCACTGCCACTTGTCTGAGAAAGAAGAGAATCTGAACTTCCAGATCTCACAAGTCTGTTGCAGGGGAAAGACCAAAACAGAGATTAAGGGAATCACCAATCACGTTCATGTTCTGTCCTCAACACTACAGCTATAACCATCGACATGTAAACCCCAGGAAAGCAAACAGTGTCTTGCTACTACTGCCTTAAATAAGCAAGCAACATGGCATCACACACTTGTTCTTCAAGTGAGAAATGATAACAGAGTAGGCAGTGAATGATATTCCGGCATTTCAGCTCAGAGCAAAAGCAAGAAGCGATACTACTGTCTCCTTCCCTGCCAGCTTGCAATTCCTCCCATAAACCAGAGACGGCACTCCAGGCAGTACTGCTCACAGACCCTAGTACTCATCTGTTAAATAATTACACTTTTCTATTAAGTTAATTTTGATAAAGAAACCCTAATAATCGTGCTTGTCATAGCCATGCAACTACCTGTACAAGATAAGTTGTTAAGACAAAAAGAAGTGACTTTTGTTTCGATTTTTGTTAAAATGCTTAAATTTCTTTTTCTAAGGGTCTCAGACTCTTCTATTCTGCTAACCTATAGGACACAGTGTTACTCTCTTTTCTAGAACACATAGAGATCAATCACAGTCAGAAATAAAAAAATTACTAAAAAACACAGTATCCTAAATGCTAATGGATTTGCTTTTTAGTTACATCAGGTGAAAAAAGGATCATGAATTTGTAAAGTCCTTATAACAATAGTTATTTCGTATCAGGGAAACAGTATTCTAATATACAGATTTTTTCCTACACTGCAGGACACTCTAGCTAAGACTAGTGCAGGACTAAAGTTGCGCTCCCTGCACAGAAGTATGGAGTCTTAACCACTGGACCACCAGGGAATCCTTAACACTTAACTGTCTAAAAGAAGACCTGACAGCTTCACTTTAAGATATCTGATACTTTTTGAAAGGCTTACATATGAGGTTTATTTTAGGTGCCAAAGACCTAAATTTGACAGAAGTTCCAAAGATATATAAATTCAATAGAAATTAGACTGCTTATTTCATGAGCTTCTAATTTTTGTTCAAGTATTTGGATATTTAGCTAGCAAATAAAGTAGCTAGAATAATCTCATTTTTATAGTATTATTATGTAGGCTTTAAAGCTGTATTTTATACGAAACAAGTTGTTTTAAAATGGTACCAGTGGTTAGGACTCTGTGCTTTCACTGCCAAGGCCCGGATTCAATCATAAACCACAGTCCTGAAGCCCCTTGTTCAAGGGCCCAGTGCAGGTAGCAGACAGTGGGAGGAGGCAGAAAAACCGTACCCCTCAATATCCTCTTCAACAGAGCATCTCAACTGCTCCATCTATGGAGAAGATCGCCAGTGTTCCATGGTTTAAAAACTTGACAATCCCTTGTGCCAATGGACTGTATATTAGCATTATAAAGCCAGAAAGAATGTGTTTTTCCCCAAGTCATTTCTTTTTATAACTTATAAGCATAATCATCAACTGCTCACAGCAGAAACAAACTCCTGGTATGAAAGTGTTACTCTAAAATCTACACAGAAAGCAACTTAAAAAATATGAATGATTAATATGAAAAAAAAATTACCCTAAGACTAAAACACTTTCCATCAAGATACCATTCTTATGCCCTTCATATATCACCTTTTGGGGGGATAAAGGCAATTCAGGTCTTGTGATCTCCTTTTCACTCGGGAGACGTCAGTCCGGAGCTCCCTCTGCAGAGCTTCTCCGTCAGGGACACTCGTGGGCTCTGACGAAACTGCAGGAGACGGAAGAGGGCTGAGCACAGTGGGTCCTGGAGAACTCCCCCTGCTGCAGGTGGTCTGGGTTTCATAACGAATAAGACGGGACTGCAGCTCTGAAAATCCCCCGTCTCTCTCTAATGCCTTCCGGTCATCCAAGCAATACCTGAGCAAGAGAAAGATCTTTAACATCAAAGACTCTGCTGCAGCAATGGGCTATTTCCTGCCACCAGCAAAGAGCAAAACATTTACTTAAAAAGTTCTTACAAAACTTCCTAATAATTGATGGGAGTGTGAATGATTAACCAATTTCCCTCACAAGTTCAGTTTTTTCCAGACTGCTACATGACATGGCAAAAGATTTAAAAAAAAAAAAAAAAGTGAGGTACAGTCTGATTCCTCTTTGACTGTTTCTGGGCAACAGATTAAGTTAATCTTCTGGCTTATTTTCAAAATAATATAGTTGCTGTTTTGACACTTTCTAAATCTCTACCAACCTCTGATTCCTCAGCACGGCTGATACGTAATGGTGTGAAATGCTGACTTCTGTTAGAAAGGGCAAGTTTGTTCCCAACACAAAAATCAGGAGGGTGTAAAGACATTATAAACTGGCTCACCAAACACAGCTCGGAACACTTTGAAATTTCCCTTTGAAACTCACCTCCACCTTACTGACTGACTGAAAAATTTTTCTTCAAAGTTTGGCTGTCTATGGATCTGGTTTCTAGCAAACTCAGTGAAATGTTTGTTCAGTGAATGCTTCTGGACTTAAGAGTTCCCATGTTGTTAAGGACAACAAATAAGTTTGTCAGCAAAGTCACCTATGAGACACATGACGTTAGAAAACCCTTCACTTTCTCCCTTCGTGCAATGTATCAAGGAAATGCAAACAGTGTCCCATATACAATGACAGGACTACAAGCATCAAAGACTTTTTCTGTTACCTGAAATCTTGTAGATTCTAAGAAGTTCCTTAAATCAGAACTTTGGGCCTATAAGCTTTTAGTTCAATGTTTAAGGAGTGTATCATGACCCCAGTGTCTGATTGCCTGGGTTTTAAGGACTTTCTCTTTCCCTTGTGACATGTATTTTGATTTCTAAGAGTATATACTAGAGAGCCAGACTCTCCAGATTTAAATCTGCCTCTACCATCGTGTGAACATGGCCAAACTACTTACTTTTATCTACACTATTGCTGCCTCCTCTGCAAAATGAGACTCACAGCAGTTACCTCAGAGCTACTGTGAAGACTCCATGAATGGACAGACACACGCAGTCAGAATCAGTGCCTGGAACCCAGCAGCGGAGCAGCCGGCAAGCACACGCCGCTGCTGCCATCAGCACCACAGCGGTTTTCTCCTCTACCACAGCAAGCCTCTCACGGCACGCTAACAGCGCAGGCAGGCCCCGTGGGGCGACCTCAGAGTCTGACCTGAACCCATTCAGTATGTTAGCTTTCATGTAAAGGGTAAGGGTCACGTTACTCAGGGGCCAACTCACGCATGCACACTGGGATCACCTGAATAGCGTTCATGAGCGGCTAGTGCCCAGTTTCTGACTAGCTGGTCTGGGGTTAGACTTTAGGACTGTCTTTTTAAAGCTACCTAGGTGATTCTAAAGTGTAGCTAGGACTGAAATAGCTCTGATATAACGCAACAATTTAACAGGGGAGAAAACTGGCATTGTTAGCTTGTGGCAGAAAAGTGACTAGAACTTAGGTCTCTCAACTCTCTAATATTCTTCCTCTAGTCCGTTGTTAAATAAAACACATTTCATTAAAAATCGGCAGCAACCCTAGGAATTACTGACGAGTCCTATTTCTATCCTGGGCAACTGATAGAATCTAGAATACAACTAAGAACCACGAATGCTAAGGACAAGTTGTAGGCAAGAGGAAATGTAATCCCTGATTAGCCTACAGGAAATTTCTGAGAGGAAAAAAATGTACAGTTTGACTCCAAAAACAATTTTTCCTACTCTAAGATCTTGATTCTAAGATGCAGATTTTTCCTTCCAGTTTTAACATCTCTTGATCACAGTTGTTCAGTGTCATGCCTTTAACTGCATTATGTGCACTGCCATGTTGACTTTAATTGCCATTTAAAATGTCTTCAAAGTGATTTTACTATGTTTTTGGCACTGAAGCAAGAAGTGACTCTGTCAATAAAAGGAACAGAACAGAGCAGCAGGAGCAGGGTGCACACTGGGTAACAGCAAGTAAATATTCACTCTTGGATGAGTGAGTACACGTCCATATTTTCTTGCAAAACAACAGCCAAATGCTTTCCGTATCCAGAGAAATACCTCAGACGATGAAGCTACCGCTGTACTAACGTATCAATACAAAATAGACAAGACACTGCTGAGCACACACCAAGCAATGCTGATGAACACTGGAAAAATTCCCAATATCCTGGAACAGGCAAAAGAAAGCTGAACGCAACAAGAGGCCAGTGTGGCCACCTAACAGTCCGTTGGACAGCAGAATTTAATTCACTGTGTTGTTCAGGACACGCTGCACCTTACAATCAATGGGATCTCACATTCCAGGATACGAGAAATATGCGAAAAACGAACCAACAGTAGACAGATTTCATTTTGCCTTTGGAAAACACTGATTTGCACTTGAACAGCTTATATATTTCTTCCAAATATTCTTTAAGCCTGAATACAGGAAGAGCTCAAGGACTCTCAAGGGTCACAGCAATGTAAGAAGAGAGAGCACTCTCTGCATTTACTTTAAATTTCACTTGAGCTTTCTTTAGAGTAGAAACATAATCTATGTTTAACTGAACAGGCCCACACAGTTTACACCCAGATCTTGAAAAAAGTATGTTTGTGGATTCACTGTGCAGGTGCACATTCATGAGTTTGATTTCAATGGCCCAGGCTTAAAGAAATGGAGTCACAACTAGCTATGTTCATTTGCTTAAGGAGGGTTCATTTTTTAAACTCCTCAAATTCGTATTTCAACAGTTTTTTTTTTCCCCACAAACAAAAGTTCAATGTTGTTCCATGTACACGTGTTGCTCCCTGTTAGTTTAGTAGTACTGCATTATATACACACATCAGTTTATTTACTGATCTGTTCTCCTATTGATGGAAATAAGGCTATTTCCAGTTTGGGTTATTATGAATACAATTGCTCTGTGGGTTCTTTTACAAGTGTTTCTGTAGTGTTACATTTTCATTTCTCTTAGGAAAATGACGATTGGAAATGCTGAGCCATGGGGTCTATGTTCACTTTCATAAGAATCTGCAAGATCCTTTTCTGAACTAAATATACCATTTTATACTTCCACCAATAATGTTGAAGAGTTCTGATTGTTCTATATACTTGTGAATACTTATCAGTCTTTAATTTTAGTTATTCTGGTGGCTACATGGACTTTGATTTATGGATGCATTATAATTTATTGAACCAAGCTCCTAGAGTTAGACATTATCTCCAGTGTTTATTTGAAATAACACTCTGAAAAGTACGCATGCAAAATTACTTTTGGTGTATACACTAATTTTATCATTGAGCAAAGGTAATCAATCTGATATTATAAAAAATTGCATGGCTTTTGGTAAATTACTGATCATTCTCTCTAATAATGTTAATTTAACTTACATGCAGAGTACATCATGAGAAACGCTGGGCTGGGGGAAGCACAAGCTGGAATCAAGATTGCCGGGAGAAATATCAATAACCTCAGATATACAGATGACAGCACCCTTATGGCAAAAAGCAAAGAAGAACTAAAGAGCTTCTTGATGAAAGTGAAAGAGGAGAGAGAAAAAGTTGGCTTAAAGCTCAACATTCAGAAAACTAAGATCATGGCTTCCGGTCCCATCACTTCATGGGAAATAGATGGGGAAACAGTGGAAACAGTGGCAGACTTTATTTTTCTGGGCTCCAAAATCACTGTAGATGGTGACTGCAGCGATGAAATTAAAAGAGGCTTACACCTTGGAAGGAAAGTTGTGATCAACCTAGACAGCATATTAAAAAGCAGACATTACTTTGCCAACAAAGGTCCATCTAGTCAAGGCTATGGTTTTTCCAGTGGTCATGTATGGATGTGATAGTTGGACTATAAAGAAAGCTGAGCACTAAAGAATTGATGTTTTTGAACTGTGGTGTTGGAGAAGACTCTTGAGAGTCCCTTGGACTGCGAGGAGATCCCACCAGTCCATCCTAAAGGAGATCAGTCCTGGGTGTTCACTGGAAGGACTGATGTTGAAGCTGAAATTCCAATACTTTGGCCACCTCATGCGGAGAGCTGACTCACTGGGAAAGACTCTGATGCTGGGAAAGATTGAGGGCAGGAGGAGAAGGGGATGACCGAGGATGAGATGGTTTGATGGCATCAGCAACTCAATGGACATGGGTTTGGGTGGACTCTGGGAGTTGGTGATGGACAGGGAGGCCTGGTGTGCTGCAATTCATGGGGTTGCAAAGAGTAGGACACGACTGAGCAACTGAACTGAAATGATCAGTCTCCCAGACAGGTAGCAGCAATTTAGACTCCAAGGTGGCTGGCTCATATCGCTTTACCACCAATATGATTTTATGGGCAGAAAGGATTCTCACTGTTGTTTCAATTTACATTCTTAATGTAAATTTAAAAGGCTGACTGGTAAGAAAACACCTTTCACTGTGTGTGGTCATATGCATCTCCTGTCGCATGCACGAATGGTCTTAGATCCTGCCAGCTTGCGTACTCTCCTTGTTCACATGGTGCTGACAGTATTTCAGTCCTTTCACATCTCTTCCTTGAAATACTTCACCTCAGTTTATCAAAGAACAATGATTTCTTTCAATGGCACAAACCAAGCATATGAATTCATGCTTTAAAAATAAAGGTTTCCTCTACTATCTCAGTGATAAGGAACAAACTCCCTCCCACGTCAACAATGATCTTCATGATTTGGTATCAACACAGTACACTATACATCTTAGTCTTATTCAGAAACAAAAATGTTATTTCCTCTTCCTAGAATCTGTACCACTGCACTTCATTCCTTGCATCAGTTCAGTCGTTCAGTCGTGTCGACTCTTTGCGACCCCATGGACTGCAGCACACCAGGCTTCCCTGTCCATCACGAACTCAAGGAGTATACTCAAACTCTTGTCCATCGAGTCAGTGATGCCATCCAACCATGTCATCCTCTGTCATCCCCTTCTCCTCCCGCCTTCATTATTTCCTAGCATCAGGGTCTTTTCAAATGAGTCAGTTCTTCGCATCAGGTGGCCAAAGCAATGGAGTTTTTGCTTCAGCATCAGTCCTTCGAATGAATATTCAAGACTGATTTCCTTTAGGATGGATTGGTTGGATCTCCTTGCAGTCCAAGGGACTCTCAAGAGTCTTCTCCAACACCACAATTCAAAAGCATCAATTCTTCAGCACTCACCTTTCCTTATAGTCCAACTCTCACATCCATACATGACTACTGGAAAAACCACAGCTTTGAACAGACGGACCTTTTTTGGCAACGCAATGTCTCTGCTTTTTTAATATGCTGTCTACGTTGGTTACAGTTTTTCTTCCAAAGAGCAAGGGTCTTTTAATGTCATGGCTGCAGTCACCATCTGCAGTGATTTTGGAGCCCACAAAAATAAAGACAGCCACTGTTTCCACATCTATTTCCCAAGAAGTGATGGGACCAGATGCCATGATCTTAGTTTTCTGAATGTGGAGTTTTAAGCCAACTTTTTCTCTCTCCTCTTTCACTTTTATCAAGAGGCTCTTTAGTTCCTCTTCACTTTGTGCCATAAGGATGGTGTCATCTGCATATCTCAGCTTATTATTTCTCCTGCAATCTTGATTCCAGCTTGTGCTTCATTCAGCACGGCATTTCTCATGATGTACTCTGCATGGAAGTTAAAAAAGCAGGGTGACTATATACAGCCTTGACATACTCCTTTTCCTATTTGGAACCAGTCTGTTGTTCCATGTCCAGTTCTAACTTGCTTCCTGACCTGCATACAGATTTCTCAGGAGGCAGGTCAGGTGGTCTGAAACTCCCATCTCTCCAAGAATTTTCCAGTTTGTTGTGATCCACACAAAGGCTCTGGCGTTCAATAAAGCAGAAGTAGATGTTTTACTGGAACTCTCTTGCTTTTTTGATGATCCACCGGATGTTGGCAATTTGACCTCTGGTTCCTCTGCGTTTTCTAAATCCAGCTTGAACATATGGAAGTTCATGGTTCATGTATTGTTGAAGCATGGCTTAGAGAATTTTGAGCATTACTTTGCTAGCCTGTGAGATGAGTGCAATTGTGCGATAGTTTTTGAGCATTCCTTGGCATTGACTTTCTTTAGGATTGGAATGAAAACGGACCTTTTCCAGTCCTGTGGCCACTGCTGAGTTTTCCAAATTTGCTGGCATATTGAGTGCAGCACTTTCACAACATCATCTTTCAGGATTTGAAATAGCTCAACTGTAATTCCATCACCTCCACTAGTTTTGTTCATAGTGAGGGTTCCTAAGGCCCACTTGACTTCACATTCCAGGATGTATGGCTCTAGGTGAGTGATCATCCCATTGTGATTATCTGGGTTGTGAAGATCTTTTTTGTACAGTTCTTCTCGTATTCTTGCCACCTCTTCTTAATATCTTCTGCTTCTGTTACGTCCATACCATTTCCATCCTTTATTGCACCCATCTTTGCAATGAAATGTTCCCTTGATATCTTTAATTTTCTTGAAAAGATCTCTAGTCTTTCCCATTCTGTTTTTTCCTCTATTTCTTTGAGGAAGACTTTCTTATCTCTCCTTGCCATTTTTTGGAATTCTGCATTCAAATGGGTATATCTTTCCTTTTCTCCTTTGCCTTTGGCTTCTGTTCTTTTCTCAGCTATTTGTAAGGCCTCCTCTACAATGTCACAAATCTCTGTCCATAGTTGTTCAGGGACTCTGTCTATCAGATCAAACCCTTGAGTCTATTTGTCACTTCCACTGTATAATCTTAAGGGATTTGATTTAGGTCACACCTGAATGGTCTAGTGGTTTTCCCTACTTTCTTCAGTTTAAGTCTGAATGTGGCAATAAGGAGTTCATGATCTGAGTCACAGTCAGCTCCTGGTCTTGTTTTTGCTGATTGTACAGAGCTTCTCCATCTTTGGCTGCAAAGAATATAATCAATCTGATTTCGGTGGTGACCATCTAGTGATGTCCATGTGTAGAGCTGTCTCTTGTGTTGTTGGAAGAGGGTGTTTGCTTTGACCAGTGCGTTCTCTCAGCAAATCTCTATTAGCCTTTGCTCTGCTTCATTCTGTACTTCAAGACCAAATTTGCCTGTTACTCCAAGTGTTTCTTGACTTCCTACTTTTGCATTCCAGTCCCCTATAATGAAAAGGACGTCTTTTTTGGGTGTTAGTTCTAGAAGGTCTTGGAGGTCTTTATAGAACTGTCCAACTTCAGCTTCTTCAGCATTACTGGTCAGGGCATAGACTTGGATTACTGTGATACTGAATGGTTTGCCCTGGAAATGAACAGAGATCATTCTTTCATTTTTGAGACTGCACCCAAGTATTGCATTTCAGACTTTTCTGTTGACTATGAGGGCCACTTCATCTCTTCTAAGGGATTCCTGCCCACAGAGGTAGATATAATGGTCATCTGAATTAAATTCACCTATTCCAGTCCATTTTAGTTCACTGATTCCTAAAATGTCAATGTTTAGTCTTGCCATCTCCTGTTTGACCACTTCCAATTTGTTTTGATTCATGGACCTAACATTCCAGGTTCCTATACAATATTGCTCTTTACAGCATCAGACTTTATATCCATCACCAGGCACATCCAAAACTGGATGCTGTTTCTGCTTTGGCTTAGCCTCTTCACGCTCTGGAGCTATTTCTCCACTCATCTCCAGTAGCACCTCCAACAGGCCACCTAGCGACCTGGGGAGTTCATCTTTCAGTGTCATTATTTTCTTGCTTTTTCATACTGTTCATGGGCTTCTCAAGGCAAGAACACTGCAGTGGTTTGCCACTCCCTGCTCCAGTGGACCACATTCTGTCAGACCTCGCCACCATGACCCGTCCGCCTCGGCTGGCCCAACGTGGAATGGCTCGTAGTTTCACTGCGTTAGACAAGCTGTGGTCCATGTGATCAGACTGGTTAGCTTTCTGTGACTGTGGTTTTCATTCCTCCCATAGACACTGCCTTTTTGGTGAGATGACTTCCTCTTCATTCCTTCAAACTTAGTTCAGACGTACTCACTGAAATTCTCAGTTTGTGGTGTTTACTTGGTCCATACACAGGGCAGTGTTATATATTGGTATTTTTAACACTAAAAATACATCCTACTAAAGCCATGTCTTTCTTTCTCCCCTCCTAGAGTACATGTTTCTTAAGGGCAAAAATAGTTGTCTTATAGTCTTTTGTATCTTTAGCCCCCTGACTGAATAACTATCAGTAAAGTAGGTTTAAAGTTGTGTGACATAAAGATTAAGTTTACAAGACAACCAAAGTAGTATATCTCTTTTGCTCACTGATAAATGTGCTTCTAAGAGATCAAGGTAAAATCAAGTCCTTTTCTATTTTCATTTATGGAAAATCAACACAAAATAACGCTTTGATTTAGGAATGTGAAATAGTTTGCAAAATGAATCACTAGGGTCTTGCAAATTTAACCTAAAATATATTATTTCCATCATTTCCTTTCTTGTCCCAGTGAAAGTAGTAGATGCAAACATGACCTCAGAACCTGCTAATGCTTCTAATTCTAAGTAAGCGAACCCTTTGAAATTTTATTCTAACAGGTCAATTAAAATTCTGTAAAAATGTACACACAATTAACACACTGCAAGTGAGAATACATTTCATCTAACAGTTTCTGAGCAATTACAATGCCCAGAAAATATCAATGTGCCTGGTAGTGTAAATATACACCTATATACAATATACAAGGTAGGAACCAAAATAATTCTGACTAAAATATCCAATAACTAATAATAGGACATTTAAATGTAAAACTGATTAATCAACAAGTATCTTTTTTTACCAACAGAAGACAAATTATTTGTGTATGTAATACTTGTTTTTGAGGGGTTTTCGACATATTTACTCTTCGGTTCTCTATCTCAACTTCTGTCAGTTTGTTACAGTCATTCTTCAGTGTCACAGAAGATAAGCCACATTAAGAACACACAGAAGAATAAAATGAAAATTAAAAACTCACTCAATTCCATGATAATGACATACTGAAGCTTTTTCAAAAGGTAAACCGCGAAGTTTCCGAGGACTAAGTTCTGGTGTCAGGACAAAAGTCTTCTCCCTGAAATAAAAAGCTTTGCATTTTCATTTATTTGGTGAGAAAGTTCAAGAAACTGTCTAAAGAAGGAAGTCTGACTTCCTTCTCTATAACTAGATATCATATGAGATTAAAAACTCAATTACATTAGGAAGCCAAAGAAGAAAACGAAGTAAGGTTAAGCCTAGGGTTAGTCGTTTACATTTTCTCTGTCCCAAGCTTCTAAATATGAAAACATTACTTATTTTACAAAACTATTCTGAGAAATGGTTGACTCAAGAATAGAACATGATCTGTAGGGCAAATTCAAGAAGCAGCATTATTCCTGAAGCATATGTTTTTCCTGGTGTAGTAAAATGCTTATGCATTTATTAACAGCTAAATTCTTTTCTTGCAGTGGAATAATTAAAGTCAAATTCGAATCCTCAGTAACAAAAGAGGTATTTAGTTCCTACTATATCACATGGGGAATCCAGATTTTTCTATACCTGGGAACATAGTCATTTTGACACCTATTTTAATAATCAGTGACCTTTTAAATATCAGAGGATATAAAGACTAACTGCTGATTTCAGCTCTTCTTCTAAAGCAGGTTCCAATCAGCAGGTGTGTCGGAACTAGTCCTGTGGTGAACTTACATAAAACACTGATGCTCAGCTCCTCCAGTCAGGACCTGCAGGGGTACCTCAAAACCTGTGGGAGGAGGCCGCTGCAATCAGCTTAAGCTTTCTGAGTTATTCTAATAAGTGCCCTCCTTCTCTGCCTGGGTTGGGAGGCACTGTTCTGATGAACTGCATCATGATTCCTGGAGCTCAGAACACGTTAGAGGTGGGGATGGGAGAATTATACAAGTTTTTTACACTAGTATTAGGCAGAAGGAGACACCTGGGGCTTGACTCCAGAAGACTTACAAAAGGTAAACAGAAAAACAAGTAGGTAGTGGAGTATCAAGAATAAATTCAGTATCACACTTTCCCCTCCTTGGCTTTAGAAATAAAAACTGCCCATATGACACTGAATATTATCTATAGAGTACTAAGATAAGCATTTGAAATTATTATATTAAAATGTAAGACATATGCAAGTTAATGAATCCTGAAAACCAGGATTTATATTCCAATGCATTCACTTAAAGAGTTTCACATAAAGTAACGCTAGTAAAGGGCAATGATCCCAGTATTTCACGACCAACTATCCGAGTGAATAATCCTGCGATATGAAACGATGCAGTTCTTTCCTTTGCCATGCTGTCTTCCATTCATCTTAATCCCTCCCAGGAACTGTGTCTATTTTGTTTCATTTTACTCACACCTTGTTCATTCTAAAGGAAGTATTTCAGTGAGTATGTATTCTGTCAAGGTTTGACACTTCCTTTATATGCGCAGGAGTCATTCCTGCTTGGCTTAATAGGGCGCTTCAGGTGGTGCCCTGGGAGACAGTTAATGAAAGCCCACAGGCCCTTGAGTCATTACCGTGAAAGCTCATCCTTCAACTTTAACAGAAGACATCTTAGATAATGACACAGTTCTTTACTAACATTAAGGAATTAATGTCAAACTTCCCTAGGTAAATCACTGGTAAGCTACAGGAAGAATTAGTAGTATCCCCCCCTGACACTGCAGCTACAAAGACATTCTGGTCAAAAAGAATACAACCTACATGATTCAGTTTTGGCAAAACCATCTGACTCTGCCAGTTCACACTTAATAATCCGGAAGGACAGGAATCCAATAACTAAACAGATGAAAACATATATATAATTCTTCCCTTTCTTGATTCCCACAGAAAGAATTATCAATCTCTCAAAGCTGTAAGAAAAGGAAAATTACTCTAAAATTACACTGTTTTTATGTCATTAAAATCATTAAGTCATTAAAACTCAGAACTATTAAGACCATCATATCTCCTAAGTTGCTCCCCATCTCTCTCTCTTTAGTGACCACGCACATGATAAATTCTCCCCAAAATCAACCCTTAAATTCAGTACTTGCCAAAACAAGCTTTGAAAAAGTAATCAAAATGTTCTATAATTTTCAAGGTCCTTTGGAAGATTCTCAGAAAAATGGATTAACAAAAAGAAATTGGGGCAGTGAACAAAGTATTCAAATCTCACAAGTATTTGATATCACGATTTTGCCTGTAATTAAGTTAACTTCAGTAACACCCAGAATTTATTAACTAGCAACTTACTGGAAGCTGTCTTGGAAATCAAATTAGTTGTAAATTATTCAAGCTGACAGTGAGATTTAGTTGGTATAGTTTCAAAAGCATTTTTATTACACTTTCCCATTCTTCTCAGGTGAAAGGCTGTCCTTTTGCTATTATTAAGGCATAACTGACAATGTCATGATTAAGTGGTAGTAAAATCAAAACTAGAAAGTGATAGAAAAGAGAATTTAAAAAAATTTTTGCAAGTCAAATTGTAATTTTTCTGAAAAAGTATTGCCATCTGTCTACAAAGTAGAAGCTCACTTCTATAAGAAATATGTTAAGGTGGTTTTTATTATCCCTGTTTCCTTTATACTCAATACTAAAAAACAGTAGAATATTAGGCTAAGGTAAAATGTGAGAATTAAGACAACTGATAAACACTGGGCTCAAACTTGTAGATTTTGTCAAAGTGGCACAGAACATCTAATTGGATGTTAGATCTAAACACACAACTGGAGAAGAGGCAATGTGCTTTTAAAATGATTCCTTAAAAAATTAATTGGAGGTTATCAGTTTATAACTTACCCTTTTTGAATCTGTAAAGGCTGAAGATCTCCAATTGGTAACCCGTCTGAGGTAAAGAATTTAAGCAATTCTTTAGCATCCAATAATGTGACTGAATCCCGTGGACCCTCTTTGTGGCCCAGCAATTGTTCAGATGAACGAGGTAATGAACCAGTTCTGAGGAAAAAAAAATTATGTAGATTTATTAAAAGCAGATTAGAATTCTCCATGGTCAGGAAAAGCTGCTATGAGCAGAAGCCAGAAAAATATACACACACACAAAACTGAAGATCTACACATTTAAGAAAGAAAAAAAGTAAAAGCTTTGCAAATCATTTAGAATCAAAGCATATTTTCAAAAATCTGTATGTAGGTCACAGGAAAACTTGCAGTTATCATGTCAAAACAATGTTACTACTTAACTAAAATAAACATAATTATATTCTTTATATTTGACATGATTGATGAATGTAATCATTATCATGCTATCACACTATCATTATTAGTGTGAAGTCATCAATTCTATAAAATTTAAATCTAAACTCTCTTGTATGTTCCAAAGCCCCACAATATTGTAAATTCTGAAGGCAGAGACCAAATGTCCCAATGTTCTATAAACTTGAAAGACTACATACAGCACAACCATGAAATAAGATAGTAATCAGATATTTCTCCAAGGTCTCTGCTAGCCATGATTATGACATTATGAATAAATACTAAATTATTATTATACCTGAATATACACAGGATTTCATACTTTTAAAAGTACATACAATATATCCTTAACCCTCACAAATCCCCTTGAAAAAGACAGGACAGGTCTTATCTCAAAATGAAATTAACACCTGAAAATAAGAACTTTGTAAAGTTCATATCATACCAAGCCTAAAAAACGATCACTATTCTTACCACCCAATAGTGTCTTACAGACCCACGGTGCCAAGACTTTTAAAATGACAGAATCAGAATGAGCCTGACTCTGAATTAGGTACTAATTCTACTCTATCCCTCTATGAACCCAAAAAGTTTTTAAAAACTGGAAAGAAGAAAATAGTTTCAGAGAATGCTACAGGTTTTTTCAAGCACTGAGTTACAAATCATACTATTACTCTGTCACCAAAGCAAACATAAAATCTTTCAATACCTGCACAGAACATTAATTTCCTGACTTTATATTAATTCAACCATTTCCTGAGTAGTCACTCCAGCAATTTCACTGATAACTGCACAATAAAATGCTGACATTTCGGCCTTAAGACACATTTCTATACATGACAACAGGGCCTCTTTCTTCTTCTCATTCCCTTTATTTTTAAATTGAAAATATATATCTAATAAAAACAGTCAAACAAGAAAACACTCAAAACGCTATACTCTAGGAGGGCAAGAACTACATGATGAGCTGAATTTAATTTCTATATAGCTACTCTCTAACAGTGACTCACAAAATCTTAATCAATATTACTCTCAGTCATTTGATAGGCCAGTTGCAATGGGGAAATGCATACTCTGCATTTACATAGAACCCAGAACACAAAAATATCAGAAAAATTTAAAAGCCCAGTTTGTGATAAAGTTTACCAACCAGCTATATCCTGGGTGGAAAACGAAATAAGAAACACTGACAACACTTTTTTGTGTTTCCAAGCTTACAAAGTAATTTTTCATACATTATCTCATTAAATTTTCACAACTTTGAAGTAGACCTGGGCTCGTTACCTCCATCTTACAGACGAGTCAACAAAGGCACACAACAGGTGACCGAGTTTGTCTGAAACCAGATTCTCGGCACTTCCCTGGTGGTCCAGTTGCTGAGAATCTGCCTTCCGGCACAGGGCAGACAAGTTCCATCCCTGGTCAGGGAACTAAGATCCCACACGCCACGGAGCAGCAAGCCTCGCCTGTGTGACAAACCTTGAGAAGCCCGTGCACCAAACGGAGAGCCGGCGCCCGGCCACTGAGACCCAACACCATCAACAAGGGCTGCCCTCGGCTCAGCTGGGGAAGACTGCCTGCAGTGTGGGAGGCCCGGGTGCGAGCCCTGGGCTGGGATCCCCTGGAGAAGGGAAAGGCCACCCACCAGGATTCTCGCCTGGAAAATCCAGGGACTGTACAGTCCATGGGGCCACAGAGAGTCAGACACAACCGAGAAACCTTCACTCACAGCCAAATAAATAAATAAAACTGAATTCTTATCATTTCTGAATGTCACTCTGTAATGGTCTTTTAATCTTCAGTTGAATCTAACATAAAACAAATTAAGAAACTATGTAACTTTGGCTCCCAGCCAAGAATTTTGAAGTGTCCACAAATATGTATTGAGCATTTACTCTGCAATTATCACTGTGAGGTACTAAAAAAAAGTTCATTGTTCATAATTTATAGACCCCTAATCACTGTTCATGACTGTGTACACGTATGACTCAAAGTAGGAGAAAGGAGGGAATGAGAGTAGAATGAGGCAGAAAAGGCACAATAAAATAAGTTTCATGAAAGAAGTAATAACAGTCTTTTAACTGCAGCATTTATAGAAGTCTTAAGAGAAAGGTGATATTTGAGCTATACTTAAAACTACAAACAAATTTCTTCTGGTTCAAGATGATGCAACAAACATACACATTAACCTCTCCACTCAAAAAAACAAAAATTACAATGCTGAAGTACTGGGCAATAAGTTTATAACAGGGCTCAAAAAAAGTAGAAGGAACAGGAGTGGACCAAAGGGTTCAATGAATTTCGATAATAGACTAGAATACTCCTCCACAAGAATTAGAAAGAAACCTATAGAGAAGGTAGACTATGTCTTCTTCTTCCATGAAACCACAGACAGACTCTAAACTGGAGCTAAGGGTGGCAACGGGCAGCCAACAGGTGATATATTTTCAGAACTCTACTAGAACACCCTCCCACACCACATCTTAGACTCATGCTTTTACCTCCAAGAGAAAAGCTGCTCTCTGAAGATACAGAACTGGGTGCCTGTCCTGCCGTCAGCGGCGAAGCCCCCAGAATAGAGCCCTTTATTTAAGCGATGGGTAAAGCACCCAAGCTACCTCCCCCAGGTGCCCTTTACCTCCCTTCTCCCAGGAAAAATTCAGTTGACAGCAGGCAGGGTACAGAACCACACGTATAGAGATAAATGTATGCAACTACCAACATAAAACAGTCTAGGAATAAATTCTCAGCTGTGAACAATCAAGGGCCACCAGATACTGAAGAACTATACAGAAGAGAAAAACAGAGGACCAAATGAAACAGATCTAAAGGATAATGGGATCATTTAAAGAACAGGTAAGACAAGCTAAGAGAAAATTCCAATTAATAAGTTAATATCCTTAGAGTATCTTCTCAATTCTTATTATTAATAAGAATAGGTTGCTATGAAAAAAAGGTAGATAACAAAAAAGAATTATTAGAAATTTTTTAAATGGCTGCCAAAAATTTACTGGAAAAGATGAAAGTAAAGGTCAAGGAAATATACCAGAAGGCAGAGCAGAAAAGATGAAAAGATGGACTACTATTATTTTTTTATGGAATCATTCTTCAAAAACTTTTGTTTTTCTCACTGTGCTGGGTCCTTGCTGCTGCATGGACTTCCTCTATAGTTGCAGAGAACAGGGCTATTTCCCAGCTGCAAGGCGCCAGCTTCTCGTAGCAGGGTCTCTTCCTGTGTGGAGCACGGACTCCGGGCTCCCAGGCCGCAGCACTGGTCGCAGGCGGGCGCAAGGGCTGCCGTTCACAGGCTCAGCTGCCGCGGCACACAGGGCCCTACAGCGCGCGGGATTGCCCCAGACCAGGCACTGAGCCAGCATCTCCCGCACTGGCTGGCCGACTCTTTACCACCGAGCCCCCCAGAAAGCCCGAAGAGATGGACTATGGAAAGAACAATCAAAGTTAAATTGAAAAATCAATCTGAGGCATCTAAAATTAGGTAAGACAGATAATCACAAATAAGGAAGAGAGAAAACAGAAGGACAAATACTATCAAAGAAATAATAGAAGAATATTTCCAAGAGCTGATAAAAAGGGAAAAGCCTCAAGACCAAAACACTGCACACCATGATGGCCTCGTGTAATTTCAGAACATTAAGGAAAACAGAAAATTCTAGAAGTTTCAGAGACAGAATAAAACACCTATTAAGGAACAAAAATCCATGTCACATCAGACTTCTCATTAAGGTTTGAGATCCAAGAAAATACAGGTCTAATCTAATCTAGAAATGCAATCAAAAGAAATACCAGGAAAACAGCTGTGCAGGTAGAGAGGGTCAGTCCAAATGAGAGCGGCAAGTCAGAAAAGTGGGAGAAAAATGACTTCAAGGAAAAAAAAATTATCTATTGCAAAATAACATAAGGTGCAGAGGAAGGAGGAGGATAAAAGGTGAACAGAAGCAGGGGTGTCCTTTTCCCCATCTTCACAATGGGAAGTGAAAATATACAATCTAAAATTGATGGGCAAGAAATCCAGGCTCTCTTACGGGTAACCCATCCTTTTCTCCATTTTCTTTCCAGAGTGTCATTTTCCTCCTGACCTGTAAATGTTACAGACCCCCAGGGAACAGTCTTAAGCCTTCCTGTCTTTTTCTATACAGCCTCACCATGTGATCTCATCTACTAGCATCTATTAAAGAAACCCTTTTAATGGTAACTCCAAACAGATTCCCAGACTTCTCCTTCTAATATGCCCACATGCACAATCCATAGGTCAAATATAGCATCCCTAAAGCAGAATTCTTGATCTCTCTCCCCCAATCCACCCTTGTTTCAACTTACCCATCTTCCCCAAACCATGAGAACTCTACCCACCTGCTGTTCAAGCCAGAAACCTGAATTGTCTTAGATGCCTCTCTCTCTCTTCTCTGAGAAGGGGGGCAGGAAAAGAACAGGAAGTTTCTTTTTTTCCTAGCTTAGCACCAAAACATTCTCCAAACTTGTTCTCCACTACTACTCTAGTTAGAAGTCACAGTTACCTCTCAGTGCACAGAAAAAGCCACCACCTAAGTGATCTGTCTGTTCCTAATACTTTCCTCCCACAATCTATTCACCAGAAAAAAGTAAGTTATTTTGCAACATCAGATCACATCACTCTGACATAAAATCCATGAAAAGCTTACCAATGCACTTACAATTCAAAGACGGTCTGTACGCCTGTAAGGGCTGACGTGACTGCACGCACTTCACTCATTCACCCACGGGGTCTCCGCTCCAACGTAACTTCTCAGGGTGCCCTCCCCGACCATCTCCTCCCACCCCAACAAATAAAACCACTCTGCCTCAGGCCCGCTGCTTCATTCGTTACACACAGATGGGTTTCCAAGTCCTGGATTAACTTGTCTGCTTACAGTTTTCTGTTGACTGTCCCTCCCCCTTAAAAGGCAAGCTCCAAGAGGTGAGCCTAACACACAGCTGCTGCCCAGTAAACATCTGCTGATCTCTATGAACAAATGCTATCACTTCAGTCGCTCAGTCGTGTCTGACTCTCTGCGACCCCATGAACTGCCGCACACCAGGCCTCCCTGTCCATCACCAGCTCCCAGAGTCCACCCAAACCCACGTCCATTGAGTCAGTGATGCCATCCAACCACCTCATCCTTCGTCATCCCCTTCTCCTCCTGCCCTCAATCTTTCCCAGCATCAGGGACTTTTCCAATGAGTCAGCTCTTCGCATGAGGTGGTCAAAGTCCTGGAGCTTCAGCTTCAGCATCAGTCCTTCCAATGAACACCCAGGACTGATCTCCTTTAGGAAGGACTGACTGGATCTCCCTGCAGTCCAAGGGACTCTCAAGAGTCTTCTCGAACACCACAGTTCAAAAGTATCCATTCTTCAGTGCTCAGCTTTCTTCACAGTCCAACTCTCACATCCATACATGACCACTGGAAAAACCATAGCCTTGACCAGACAGACCTTTGTTGGCAAAGTAATGTCTCTGCTTCTAAATATGCTATCTAGGTTGGTCATAACTTTCCTTCCAAGGAGTAAACATCTTTTAATTTCAATGGCTGCAATCACCATCTACAGTGATTTTGGAGCCCAAAAAAATAAAGTCAGCCACTGTTTCTACTGTCTCCCCATCTATTTCCCATGAGGTGATGGGACCAGATGCCATGATCTTAGTTTTCTGAATGTTGAGCTTTAAGCCAACTTTTTCACTCTCCTCTTTCACTTTCATCAACAGGCTTTTTAGTTCCTCTTCACTTTCTGCCATAAGGGTGGTGTCATCTGCATATCTGAGCTTATTGATATTTCTCCTGGCAATCTTGATTCCAGCTTGTGCTTCCTCCTACCCAGCATTTCTCATGATGTACTGTGCATAGAAGTTAAATCAGCAGGGTGACAATATACAGCCTTGACGTACTCCTTTTTCTATTTCGAACCAGTCTATTGTTCCATGTCCAGTTCTAACTGTTGCTTCCTAACCTGCATACAGGTTTCTCAAGAGGCAGGTCAGGTGGTCTGGTATTCCCATCTCTTTCAGAATTTTCCACAGCTTGTTGTGATCCGCACAGTCGAAGGCTTTGGTGTAGTCAATAAAGCAGACATCGATGTTTTTCTGGAACTCTCTTGCTTTTTTGATGATCCAGCAGATGTTGGCAATTTGAGCTCTGGTTCCTCTGACTTTTCTAAAACCAGCTTGAACATCTGGAAGTTCTCGGTTCACTTATTGCTGAAACCTGGCTTGGAGAATTTTGAGCACTACCTTACTAGCGTGTGAGATGAGTGCAACTGTGCAGTTGTTTGAACATTCTTTGGCATTGCCTTTCTTTGGAGTTGGAATGAAAACTGACCTTTTCCAGTCCTGTGGCCACTGCTGAGTTTTCCAAATTTGCTGGCATATGGAATGCAGCACTTTAACAGCATCATCTTTCAGGATTTGAAGTAGCTCAACTGGAATTCCATCACATCCACTAGCTCTGTTCGCAGTGATGCTTTCTTTCTAAGGCCAACTTGACTTCACATTCCAAGTCAGCAGAGGAGCTAAAAATAAGAATGTGATTTGCACTACTTGGGAGGGCAATGCAACAAAGTCAAATTCCTTTCCTTTATTCCGTTCTTCCACCGCTCAACAATGATGTACCGCGTGCCTGCTATGCACTAAACCAAAACCAAAGCAAACATAAATCTGCCTCTTAGAGACGGTTAGTACACGCAAACATAAAACGTAAAACAGGAACATTTCAAAATGGCTCGAAGGAAAAGAGTGCTTTTACTTTGTTTTATACATTCCTGTGGAGAAGGAAATGGCGACCCACTTAAGTATTCCTGCCCGGACAGAGAAGCGTGGAGGGCCCCAGTCCATGGGGCCACAAAGAGTCGGACACAACTGAGCGACTACACACACACACACGCACATTCCTGTATTTTTAAACTTTTTCTTTCATGTTCATATATTTTTGTACTTCTATGGAAGATGGTCTGAAAGGTCACACACTAAAGTGTCACCTGTGATTATGTACACCCGGAAAGGACAAGCAAAATATGGAAGGAAGAGAGCATCTCCTGGACACCTTACTCTGCAATAGTCTATCTCTATCTATCTATCTACAGTAAGCATATATATCTTTTACAATAGAACCATAAATTGCTATCTCATAAACAGTTTAAGGATTAAGAAAAAATAAAGATCATACAAAATAAGCTGTTTAAATGTTACCTCATTTTTTGTTTAGCTTTTTCAAAAGTTTCCAAATTTTGAAGGACATGCCTCTCAGGCCACTCCAGAGGACTGGTCTCCACTGGGCAGGAAGGAGGCTCCAGTGAACGGCTTTCTGAAGAGAAGAGACACATGTGAGTCCTGAAGTATCACCATACTGAATTCTGCTACATAAAAATGTGTACATGTAGATATACATAAAAACCACTCGGGTTAATTGTACAATACTTACACCAGACAATTATTAAGGATATTTCTGATGACCTGAACTATGCAAAATGGCATAGAAAAGTTTTTTGGAAATGATAAAAAAAAATTAGTATTGAGCTTTATTTTACATTCTCCTCATAATAAACGTTATGGGCTAGAATTCAGAAGAGGAATTAGCACTGCAAGGACTCATAGGGAATGAAAGTATAAATTTGGTATATTTGTGAAATTAGTTCTAAAAGAAAAAGAGACAACTCTGTGGAGAATATATGGGATATAATATGTGATCTCCATATTAGAAAGAGGAATTAGCACCAATATCCTGAAAAATTTATATTTTTAAAAGATTACTTCATTCTCAAAAGTACTACAATACCATAAATAACTTAAGACGTTTGAGGGTAAAGATTACTTTAGAACTAATTCTCACATACACTAATGTAAGATGCTTTAACATATTCATTTTCAAGTAAATCACTAACATTAAATGCTATTTTACTACTAATAAAGTATTATACGTAAGAGTGTCTTATCTTTTTGGTCAGTATGGTGCAATGAACTAACACTGAGATTGTTGATAATCCACAATTCTCACTAAAGACAGAGGGCCGTCTTCCATTCTCATTATTAATTATGAGGACATCTCAACTGTTTTAAGACTGACAAAATCACTAACTGTAATACTGGATTCCAAAACCATCTGGTGTTTTACATTGTTTTGAACTATCACACACTACTCTAATAAACTGACTGAAAATTACTGGACATTAGCTGTTTGACTAACCGTCAACTCTGACAAAAATACCCATTTTATACTTTAGGGTCTTACAAAGTGATAATGATTTGGTAAGAAATTTTTGAACTAAAAAGAAAAAGTTAATCACAGATAAAACAGAAGCCAACTGCATATCATTTTTCCTTTACTTTTAAAGTATTTAGTCTTGAATAGTTAAAAATATTTTTAATGCCTATACTGTATTGCCCCAACCAAACACCGTCCAAGTATAGTAGTTCCTGCTTCTTAATAAGGGTGGTGAAATACTGACTATTTCATGGAAGAATAAGCTTCGTGATGAAATAATCTGCTTTATAATGCTGGCATGGCTTTTCAAAAAAGGGATAAAGAAAAAAATCATTAGTAGTTCTGAATAATTACAGGGTATGTTCACAAAAGAATACAAGCCATGTTAAATAAAAGTAAACATTAATTATTCCCCTAAATATTACAATATAAATTATTAAATTTGAGTATACAATCTGTATAAACGTAAATGCCATAGGCTACATGTTAAGGTACAGACAAACATTCATATATATAACAGGGGAGTGACTTGGTGACTAAGCATGCACGCAGATATTAACAATGGTGATAATGACAATATAAATGACAGGTCACAATTTTTTGGAGATGATTACATTCTAAGTGTTCTATAGGACTCAACTCAGTTAATCCTCATAATTACCCTAGTAACTGGGTAATATCACTATCCCCGTTTGAAGCATGAGGAAACAGGCCCGGAGAGACTGAAGAACCTGCCCGAAGACATTCAGCGGAGCTCTGAGCCCTGGCCGCCCAGCCCCAAAGGCCTGGGCCTTTAAAGACGGCACGAGGCGCTGCGCTTATGTTTTGTTTTCCAACTAGATTCTCATAAGCCTGATGAAAGTCAAGGACCCCCCCCCGAAATTTTTTAATTTTTGTGTGCCTTCATGGAATCAAACAGAGAAATGGCAGACAACAAACATTATTATCAACTTGATTCTATGGCCATTTTCTTATTAATATATGGGATAAAAATGATTTTCACAGAATAACAACAAAAAATTATCCTATACATTTAAAATGCCAGGCAAGCGTTAAATGCTTCCTTTTTAAATCCTGAAGAGCTTCACTCTATGCAAATTCATCACCAGAACAGAAAGTAGGAAAATAGAAAGAAATTGCCAAGTTAATATAGAAATGATTTCCTGCTCCTTCAGTAAGTTTGGTGACTTCCTGTTAAAACAAATGGCAAGTGTGGAGCATCTTATTATATGTAGTTTTATCTACATTAAGTTTACTAAGTTCCGCTTTTCTCATCTTATGAAAATATAGCTTAATAGAAATCCATCCATTCTAGCAGCTTAGTAAAAATTTTAAGAGGAATTACCTTAAGGTGCTTCTCCTGCTCAAAAACAATTATACAGAACGTGCTTAATAAAAAATGTCATCAGAAAATTTCTAATGTCTAAATGATGAAAAATATAACATATTGATATTTACACAGATACTTATATACACAAATATATCACTACTACAATCTGATAGATTTTGATTTGATCAATACATTTTATAAGTTTTAATAATAACTCTCATAAATGCTACACACAAAAAAAGGACTACTATTTAAAGTAACAAAAAACTTACCATTTAACATATTGGAGGTTTTGTCTGTCTTTATTAGACTTGTTTTTGGAATAACAGCATCAAAATGATCTAAAAAATGTTCCCTTGTGCGTGTTAGCAGACTTTTGAGTTCATCCACAGAAATTACCTCACGCCGCTTTGCCAACTTTCCCCTTTCTATAAGACAACAAATCAATATGATTAACAATATAACTGTTATTTTCAACCCTTTGAGCTCATCTACTATCTTTTAGGGGAAATACTTTCAAAAGTAAAACAAATGAACTTCTCCAGCAAATGAACATTCCTGTGTAGGCCTGTTTTCCTTTCAGTCCCATTTGAAGGTAATAGAAGAATTTTCAGTTATGTGAAATAAACAAAGTAATTTGTTAACACTAAAAGGTGAGCAACAGTCAAAGAAGTTTACAGAAGTTTTCAGAAATACACCGCAGAGCATGAGGAATGGCCTTATGTTGGTGCTTACGTGAAAATAAAACCTATGACACTTTCGGGTAAACGTGGTGGTTTGGTCATGTCCATCTATTTCCTCTCCTACTCAAAACTCAGAATCACAACCGAGGAATAAAAAAAGGACAACAAAAGAATAAACACTAAATGATGCGGTTTCCAACGAATTTTGGAGGATAAGATGATGGTGGAGTGGTGACTGAGTCAGCAGAGCAGAGAAGGGCTCAGCCGCAACAGGAAGGGCCCGAGTGGAAACAAGACCGACAGCGGATGTCCCCAGGCGCCAGCCCTCGAGCCAGGTGACTCTGCTCTCACTCCAGGGAAGAAACAGAAGAGGAGTCGTCTCAGATCACAGCATATCAGGAACGGGAGATGGTGAAGGACAAGGAAGCCTGGCATGCTGCAGTTCATGGAGTTGCAGAGTCGGACATGACTTAGCGACCGAACAACAAAAAAGGTGGTACTGATGCTGGAAGGTTAGACTACAAGATTAAGTAAGAGTCTACATACCAAAAGGTCAGACTTCCAACCTGGTGGCCAGAAAGACAGCAGCTACAGATGCCCCACTGAAAAGATGAAAGGATTCTCCCTTTGAAAAACTGAATGCCCCAGGAGAAAAGAGCTAGATACTGACACTACCGTGGAATTAAGGACAGGACCTCACAAACAAAATGTTGAATAGTTACTCCACCACTCTTGAAGCTTGCCAATTACATTAGAGTGACACATAAAATTTCCCAGTTAAAACAGGACAGGGGAAAAAAGTCACCAGACATTTAGCGAAAGGGGTGGAGGGGATAGGGAACTCTGCATTTCATGGTCTCCTGTTCAGACACGTAAGGAGTTCGATTCAGCAATGCTTCCAGCTTCCTGCTCCCTCCCACCACCCACCAAGCTGGTCTAGGAAAGAAAAGAGACACGTCCTGATCAGGACTCCCCTTTCCAACTTCCACCTGAGTGAGCAAATCCTCGGGATGCTCGCCCTCGGTAACCGTGGTGAGAGCCCTGTCCCAGCAGGCCTGATCGGTGGTTGCCCAGCTCTGGCTGTCATTCAGGGAGTAAATCCAGATCTGGGTATATGCAGCAGCAAACCCGTTACAGCTCTAAAAAGTCATGTCCTTCAATCCGGGAATTTATCTCCATCAGTGTGTTTCTTATTTATCAGTTGGCTCCAAATTTGGGAAGCAAGTATTATTTACTAGGCCGCTCCAAACTAAACACCAAGTCTGGGATGAAGCAGAAAGACTGGCGCACGAAAACCAAACAGGAGCCCAGCAGCAACAGAAGCGTCCGGCGGCAAAGGAGGCCGGCCGGGGCCGGCCCTCTCGCCGCCGGGGCCGCCGCTCTCGCCGCCGGGGCCGGCACTCTCACGAGGACGCCTCTGGGGCCCAGTCGCCCGCGCTGTGGGGGACTCGGATCCGACCCCCGGGTCGGGAAGGTCCTCTGGAGAAGGAGATGGCAACCCTCTCCAGTTTTCTTGCCTGAAAACTTCTATGGACACAGGAGCCTGGCAGGCTACAGTCCATGGGGTCACAAGAATCAGACATGACTCAGTGACTATATCACCAAACCACCAATTAATATTCTCACAGAAATAATGAAAGATACTATACTCATGAAACAAGTACAGGATGATCTGATAAAGGAACAGTCAATGAACAAGAAAATATTTTTGAACATTAAGCACAGGAGAGATCAAAATTAAAAAATACTGCAACACACCCCCTAGAAACTAGGACAAAAAGATAATAATATGGAAATAGGAAAAAAGAGCAGACATTCTATCCAAAAAAAGGTTGATATATAACCAATAAGAGTTCTAGAAAGAAAAAAGTAACCGGGAGAAAGAAAATTGTATTAAAGAAATAATAAAAATTTTCAGACCTAGGAAATGTGAATCTTGTGTTGACGTGGCTCATCAAGCACACAGCTCAGTACACTGGAGAGCAGAAAGCAGGGGGCACACACATTACGATTCAGAGTAAAGCTTCCAGAAACAAAGCTTCTGGGGGTAAAAGTTCTGAAAGGGGGCAAAAGCAAACTAAAAACAGACCACTTCAAACAGACTAGTATGAGATTTGTCAACAGGGACACAGCAACACAAAAAACAATGGGACAGGGACTTCCCTGGCGGCCCAGCGGTTAAAGACTCTGTGCCTCCACGCCAGGGAGTGTGGGTTCAACCCCTGGTTGGGGATCCCCCTATCAAGTGGCCAAAAAAATAGATGAGGGGACAATGTCTTCAAAATTCTGAGGGCGAACAATTTTTAACCTGGAAGTCCAGAGAATTATCAATCTAGTAAAGATATTTTCAGACATGCAAGAGCTTGAAAACAGTATGCCCCAAGAACAAACTTTTACTGAGGAAGCTAATGCAAGATATGAGCCAACCAAACAAGGGAGTAATCCCCCCCGCAAAAAAAAGGAGGTCAAGGGGTCTAGAAAATAGGAGATTCCAAAAGAAGAAAAGAGGAAAGAGAAGTCTCTAAGATGTCAGTAGCTCTAAGACACATTTTGTTCAAAATACAGTAAAATATGAAACAATCCAGAAAAAAAACTATGAGAAATAAAAAGGAACTGTTGTGTTTGAATATACAATAAATTTAATGACAGGTGTGTGGCAGAAATGTTGGAGGCTCTGGAGAAACATAAAAGTATTTTTGCCTCTACAGAAGAATGGGCAAATTAAAAATAAGGTGATTATCAACCACAAGGAAAACAAAGATTATACAAGAAAGGAAAATTGACCATCATATACTACATGACTCAGTAGTAAATTTACAGATAGGTAGGTAGGTACGTGGGCTTCCCTAGTGGCTTAGATGGTTAAGAATCTGCCTGCGAAGCAGAAGACCTGGGTCTGATCCCTAGATTGGGAAAATCCCCTGGAGGAAGGCAGGGCAACCCACTCCAGTGTTCTTGCCTGGAGAATCGCACCGACAGAGAGGAGCCTGGTGGGCTACAGTCCACGGGGTCTTAAGAGTCAGACACGACTTAGCAACCAAACCACCACCATCACTGACCTATGCCTATTAAAATCGTCAATTATTTTACAATACTGGGCAATGTGGAAAGCAGGATATGACTTCCTATTGACCTTAATGACCAAGCAATAGAGAGAGAAAATAGATGAGGTTTAACAGGGTTTACGAGCAGAATAATTTACCTAGGTGAAAAATAATCCCTACACAGATGAGTCAGTAACACAAGTGACAGATAAAGATCTGGGAGAAAAATATTGGACTAAAGTGTTAAAATAAATTCACAAAAGAATGCTATTCCTAAAACAAGTGAGTAATAACTCAGGACTTCGTAGAAAAACAGAGTGTAAAATGTCTAAAAATATCAGCAGAATGAACACCAATCAGGTTTGCACCAGGTTCTATAAATTTAAAAACAATGTGGGGAACTCAGAGTTGTGACCGCAGTTCTGGAGCGATACGACAATACTGCTATTTTGGAATCTGTTCTGCATCACACTGAGCAATTTTTATTTAAAAATCATTCAGTGTTCTTAAACCTTTTCATTTTTCTTTTTTATTTTCTTAATATTTTATTTGGTTAAACCGGGTCTAAGTCGTGGCACATGGGATCTAGCTCCCTGACCAGGAGTCAAACCTGGGCCCCTACACTGGGAGCCCATCTCAGCCATGGGACCACCAGGGAAGCCCCAAGTCTTTTCTTTACAAATCAGTGAAACAGGATATTTAATATTTCTAATTATAAAAGTTTACAAATTACAAAAGATCAGTTAAATATAAATTATAAAATTTAAGTATCATTCCAAATGTCTATATCTAATTATCTATGTGTAGTTAAAAATTAACATAATTTTTAAGAATAAAATTTTCATTCAAACTTTCCCAGCTGCTCATTCTAACTCAGTAGTAAGAGAAATATTGGGGGAGATAGTAAGTCTACCCCAAGTCTGAATAATAATTTTGAAAAAAATTTTGAACAACCTATTGTTTTCCAGCAGAGACTATAACCTGTGTTGATATTGAAACATTAATTTTTACTTGAAGAAAACTTTCCTATTCATTTTCATCAGGTATAAATTAACTACATCAATTTAAATTCTTTTATATTTATATTCACTTCTTTGAAAACCACTGAAAGAAACACTAAGATTCTCTTACAGGGGAAGCTTCATTTGTTGTCATTCTCCTCTATCTTCAGAGATACATGAAATCTGAACAGATGCACCTTTGTGCCCAGATTTTCAATTCAGTGCTAACTCTCTGGGTAAAGGAGAGACTGGCTCCGCAAATAATTCCGTCAAAATGGGTCACTCATCTCAGCCAAGATTTAAGCTTCAGACTGCACTTGGCCAGTTCACGGATATCCCCAGAGCTGACGTCTCGCGCAGCTCCTAGCTCTGAGGCTTCCTTCAACCTCCAGCCCCCTGCATGTCCTTGCCCAGTGCTGAGGCCATCCTTCCAGCTCCTGCCTGGGTTATAACTCAGCTGCTGGTGCTTCCACATCTGCAGCATTTATTTAGCACCTCCTTTTCCCCCCTCCCTGAAGCAGAGCTTCCAGTCACACCTATAGGCAACAACTTGATTCCCTTCCCAGCAAGCAGGAGGGATGGCCTTACCCAGAGGAGACACGGACCGGCTTTAGGGAGCCGCCCGCTCTCCGCTCTCAGTTTTCTGGTTGGAAGGGTCAGGAAGAGAGGGGAAGATGAGGGAGGGAAGACGCTGAAGGAACCTGGCTTTAAGGGGCTGCCAGGGGCTTATGGCAAAGGTTCAAAGCCGAAAGAGGGGTTTAGCAGGGCTAGAACAGAGTCAGAAGTAAACAGTACTAAGCATGTAGATGTCTGAAACATAGGGGTTTTATCCACAAAAATTTCAGCTTTTTTTCCTTTTAAATTGAATTATAGTTGATTTACACAGTGTGTTACTTTCTGGTGTGTAGCAAAATGATTCAGAGACATATACATATATATTCCTTTTCTGATTCTTTTCTGTTATAGGCTATTACAAGGTATCGAATATAGCTCCCTATGCTACATGCGTTAGGATCTTGTTGTTTATCTATGTATGTATGTATATACATACATATGCATAAATGACAGTCTGTATTGCTAATTCCAAACTCCTCACCCACCCACCGTCGTCCCTGCTCTGCATCCTCCTCTGGGGACCATGAGTTTGTTTCCTGTGTCTCTGAGTCTACTTCTGTTTTATAAATGAGCTTATTTGTATCATTCTTTTAGATTTCACATGTAAGTGATATATGACATTTACCTTCTGTCTGACTTCATTTAGTATGAGAATCTCAAGGTTTATCCATGTTGCTGCAAATGGTACTTTTTCGCTCTTTCATTGTTGAGTAATGTCGCACACCCTCTGTCCACTCGTCCGCCGATGGACAGCTAGGTTGCTTCCACGCCCTGGCGACTGTAAACAGTGCTGCTGTGAGCACTTGGGTATGTGTACCTTTTTATGATAGTTTCCACCTTTTCCAGATACATGCTCAGGGGTCAGAGGTGCTGGATCACGTGTAACTCTATTTTTAGGTTTTTTCTTTTTTTTTTCCTTGGGTTAATACATACTACCTTTTATTGAAACTAATTCACCTTTCTCCATTCTATCATTTTCATAGTCAAAAAAAGTGGTTTGAGGAGTTCAAGACTACACAATTACTCTGGCTTTGTACAAATGAAAAAGTAGTAATTCTTACACAAATTATTAAGACCAGGTATACTAAAATTATTTTCCACTGAATAAAATGAACTACTGATGCCAAAATATTTTTAAATGCTTTTAAAGAGTGATATTTTTCATTTTATAGTGTATGTACTTAATAATCATTTTTTCTATATGCAACTAATGAAGCCTCACAATTTGAATCAAGTTTTTAGAAATTCTATATTAATTAGCTTAAGTCCATATTAGGTATTAATGAGTGATTATTTATGACAACAATGTTAATATTGACAACCAAGTTAACATTTAGAAACAGAGGAAAAAATCTTAAATACAATCCTAAAAAAGTGTCAATTTCTTGAAAAAAGAAAAACCCATGATCCAACCTGACTCAACATATGCAATGTGCTTAGTTATGATTAAAGTCTAAGAAGCAATGCTCAAGTTAACATATTAATTTCTCTAGATTTGTATTTTCTTCTGTTTGCAATCTCTATCTTCCTCTCCTCTAGCTAAAAGATATAAAGAGAAATTTTGTAAAGATGACTACATTAACCAGAAAGTATCCTTTCTGGCATACAATTAAAAATAATGAGAAACTAAATTTTCCTGGGCAAATATTATTATAAATGGTAATAGCAATATACAAGCAAACAGGAATATTCTGAATCTGGTGGGAAAAAAATTACAGATCGTTTCTACCCTCCATCACCTCTATTAAGAACGTACTTAGTGCCACTGAACTGCACAGTTAAATATGATTAAAATACAGTATGTTTTATATTATGTGACTTTTACTGTAATAAAAAAATTTTAATTAAAAAAAAAAGATTAGGAGACTGACCACCTAAGACCTTGCGCACACAGTAATTTTGTCAGCAACGCCACCCCTGAACCATTGCCATAAAACCTCTCACCAAACTCCCCTGGGTTGGGACACAGTTTTCGAGGGCAGGAGTCCACTGTGGCTCCTTTGCCTGGCAAAGCAATGAAGCTATTCTTTTCTGCCTCACCTTCTGCAAAAAAAAAATAGTTCTACCAGTGAGTATCATATCTAAAAAAAAGTATGTAAGAAAAGTGTTAAAATAAAGTATTATGTCTGAACAAGCCAACATTCTTACAACAGAATGAAATGCACACATGATTACTTACTCAGACATTCCTTCAAAGCCAAAGCCTGAACATTGGCTAACTGTTTTTCTCTCTGTATAAGCTGCTCCCTGGAGAAACTCGGAAGTGACAAGAGGTCAAGAGGAAAACCTAAGAAATAGAAAAAAAAAAATCAGTATTAAAGATGGTTTATAACAACAATTAATATACAGTTCTCAAGAAATGTGTTAAAATGTAATTAAAAGTCAATTATTTATCTTTCTTCATCTTGCATATTTCAAAGTAAACAATAATAAATGAACAGCAGAAAATAAACATACTAAGTTATTTTGCATTTTAAACTTTGACCTGCTTCTTAAATTCAGAGAATTTAGGTAGCAGAGCAGAATTCCCTCCACTACATCTTCTTCTGCTTCAGCTATTGAAACCGCTACACAAAACAGTGATGGACTATAGGAGTTGGTCTTCAAAGGTGGCCTCCCCACGAATCAGGTTCTGCTTCTACCTGCCGTGTAGACCTTCCACAATGAATCTAGGTGACCCCAGGAGACCAACAAGGCACAGTAAAAGCGACAATGAAAGACATAAGTCATAGAAAGTCTTACAGCTTCTTAGAACACTCGCTCTAAGAGAAGCTGACAACCATAAAGAAATCAGACTTCCTGGAGACAAGCTGTTGCGAGGAAGCCCAGGGTGGCTGGAGGATGGGTGTGTGAAGAGGAGATCAGCTCAATCTGATCCAGCCACCCCCACCCAGGCACCAAATACGCAGGGGAAGAGCCAGCCTACACACCCAGCCCTGTGAAGTCTTCAAATGAAAAGAAGCCCCAGTCGTGTGTGATGGCAGTCAGACGCGGGCCTTCAAAACAAAAACATCCAGCTGAGCCCAGTCAGCCCCCAGGACCACGAGACATGATAATAGACCATCATCGTTAGGCTACATTTGGGGCAGTTGGTCACACCGTGATGGAGAACCCAAGCATGGAGCTTGGAGAGTAAAAAAAGATGAGCAATAAAGATGCTGGAGAGAAAATAAATAACAATGAGACGTAAATTCTAGAAAAATAATTTGTGTAAAGTGGAAAATACTAAAAATTTTCCTGTTTGGAACTGAAGGGGTGACCTGCTACATTTTAAGAAGTATGATATGTAAAGGATAAATGCTCTGCATTCTATATTGTTCAAATATGTTATAAAATATTTAAAATAAAAGCAAATTTAGGGAAAGTGAAATGGAGTTTGAAGACAATAAGTTCATTAAAAACCACATAAGTTAACTATTTATACAAACGGATATAAAAATGTTTTGTTTTCCCTCTAAAGTTAACACTCACTCAATTTGGTTTCTTCTGTCATTGCTTTCATCTTTCCATGAATTAAACTGAGTGCAAACGAGCCATTGATCTGGTTGGCTGAGTGAATCAATGTGGCTTTACACTTTCCATTGCCATTACCTTGTAATAAGAGGTAATAGCTAGAACTCTCTCCTTTCACTTCAACATCTGGAACTAAACAAAAACAATTATCTTGTTAAGCATGTGAAAATTCAGCACACAACATAGCAGAATCATACATGTGATCCATAGGATATAATTAAATTTCTACGTTATTTTAAAGCAAGGTATCGCCCAGTGTATTTGGGGCAGCAGTTGTTCTTTCAACTGAAACTGAAAGTCGCTCAGTCGTGTCTGGCTCTTTGCAACCCCATGGACTACACAGTCCATGGAACTCTCCAGGCCAGGATACTGGAGTGGGTAGCCTTTCTCTTCTCCAGGGGATCTTCCCAACACAGGGATCAAACCCAGGTCTCCCACACTGTAGGCGGATTTTTGACCAGCTGAGCCACAAGGGAAGCCCTATGTATTTATCATTTTTAAAATTTATTAACTTATTCATTTAACTGAGGAAGCTGTTAAAGCAGAGACTCATAACAAAAATGATACTCACAAAGCATACACATTTTAAATTAAAACTATGTATACTCATTGATTAACTTTTGATGTGGCTCTTTAGAGTTCTATTACATCTTTTCTATATATTCACACCCATAATGTATCAACTACTATTTCCAGCTTTCGTTTCTTTAAAGAGGAATAAGCTGAGCCCTGAACGCACACACAGCTCCACTGGTGGGAAAGGAGTGCACACATGCCCAGAGATAGTTTCTTGCTCCTGCACTGTGCATCCATAATGTATTTTACAGAGGGAGTGGACAGCACTCATTAATCTGGCACGCCAGTAACTCGAAGGTCAGTTAAGACAGCTAAAAACAAATCAAGTGATGGCTATAGTGAAGGTCAAAGAAAAACTGTGAAGCCTATGATATTAAAAATAGAAATAGAAGCCTTTTTGCAGAAGATGAATTGGACATAAGCATTTATTTTCACTATCTCCTGAAATTCCATGAAATGAGAATAAACTTAAAAATAACAGAGAACTACAAGAGCCAATATCTGAGAGAAGAGACAGCAGCAACTGAACTCTGAAAGCAGGAGAAAAGACAAACAGTTGGAAACAGACTTCAGACTCCCAGTTGCTAAGCTGAGAAAAACCACAGAGAAAGTTTGGAAGCAACAAAATTTATACTACAACCCCTGACACGGGACTCTGGGATAGCATGGGAAACAAAATGATGGTGAAACAGTGAAACAGGCTGAAAGTCTGTCTTAGAGCTATTTGGCATCCAGATTCCTCCACATTCTCTGCAGGCAAATGACTGTCCTTTCCCCAACCCAGGAGACTAGCAGTTATTTTCTAGAGAAAATAAAACAAAATGTCTCCGGTCTGGGAGATATAAGACAGAGCTTAGGGCTAAAATTGATTCTGCATGTATTAAGTGAATGCTGGTATACTGAATACTGAGGCCCTTTACCCTTCTTCACCCACATAATTTCCAGAATTTTGGAAGCCAGAGAGCAGAATTGAGCTCTCTTTTGGAAACATGGTCAGTACTAGTGGGCTGTGTGCTTCGTCACCCAGTCCTGTCCGACTCTGTGCGACCCCGTGGACTGTTGCCCACCAGGCCCCTCTGTCCGTGGGGTTCTCCAGGCAGGAACACTGGCGTGGGCTGCCCTGCCCTACTCCAAAGGATCTTCCAGACCCAGGGATCAAACCTGTATCTCTTATGTCTCCTGCATTGGAAGGTGGGCTCTTAACCATTAGTACCACCTTAAGTCTCTAAGCTGCTTATTAATCGGGTTGTCTCCATACTACTGAGTTGTAAGAATTTAAAAAAAACAAAACAAAAATGTCCACTGTAAGATAATATGAGTGAAACGATCTCTTAGTCAGTAGATTTTAAAACTTTTCCTTAGCAGAGTTTTTCAAAAAGCGGACAGGTGCATTTATTCAAAAAATTTAAATTTTGGTGAATTTATAGGTTTCTTTTTTTTTAATATATCATCCATTTGGTATATGTTTTCTTACAGAGGTTTTATACTTTTAGTGCTTGCATTCAGGCATAAGTAATTTTACATATATGTGTGTAATTTTTGAGTTTCTTTATATGAACATTCAATTATCCCAGTATGTGTTAAAAGACCATCGTTTTCTCACTGGCATCCCTGTCTATTCTGCTCCACTGACACATGGATATTCTATCTTGATTCTTAGCTTTAGAGTGAGTTGTAAATCAGTTAGTATAAATTCTTGTAAGTTGCTCTTCCTTTTCAAAATTGTTTTAGCCGCTCTAGATCTTTGTAATTTCATGTAAATCTAGTATCAGTTTGACAATTTCTATGAAAAGGCCTCCTTTAATTTCATTAGAGATTAGATCGAATCTATTCCCTGTAACTCAGATGGTATAGAATCTGCATGCAAGGCAGGAGTCCTGGGCTTGATCCCTGGGTCGGGAAGACGCCCTGGAGAAGGGAACGGCTACCCACTCCAGTGTTCTTGCCTGGAGAACCCCATGGACGGAGGAGCCTGGCGGGCTGCCGTCTGTGGGGTCGCACAGAGGCGGACACGACCGAGGGACTAGCACTACTACGCCACTGCCACCCACCAGTACGCAGAGAAGGGCCATTTAATAATGCTGAGTTTTCTAAACTATGAACACGCCGTATCTCTCCATTTACTGTTATCTTCTTTAAAAGCTCTCAGTAATGTTTTGTAGTTTTCAGTGTACAGGTCTTGGACTTTCTGTTAGATATAGTCCCCTGTGTTTTATTCACTGATTTCTGGTCTAATTTCCTTCCTTCTACTTATCTTGAATTTAGTATTCCAGCTTCCTGAGGTTAATGTCAATTTTAGATCTTCCTTCCATTCTAATGTAAGCATTCAGAGCCCTCTCAGAGCTGCAATGAGGGGCTTTTCATATGTTTGTTTCTATTTCCATTCAGTTAAAATTATTTTTTTAATTTGACCTATGAGCTATTTAGAAGTGTGCTTAAGTTTTAAGTTTCCAAATATTTAAAGTATTTCTCAGATTTCTTTCTGCTGTTGCTTTCTAATTTAATTCCACTGCAAATGGAGAAAACGTTGCATATTATTTTTATCCTGTTAAATTTACTGAGCCTCATTTAATGGCCTAACAATTATATAGTCTATCCTGAAGAAAGTACCATCTGTGCTTGAAGAGAACAAGTATGCTGTTTCATGCTATGTTTAATAAAAGTTAATATAGTAAAGTTGGTTGACTGTTTTCACTACTGAACTTCTAGCATCTAGAATAATGCCCTGAACACAAGGAGCATACAATAAATGTACATTTTTGCTCACTGAAAGAATACTTTGTCTTTGCCACTGAAATCTCTTCCAAAATCTTTATCCAAGTCCTTTACCTCTTCTCAAGGGCAAAATTATTTATAAAATCAATTACACTGAGTCACCTTAACCTTGGCAGTTTCAGCTCTATTTTGAAACACTTTTATCCCACTGACTGGAGTATGAAGAAGGCACAAGCTTCCTCAATGCAAAGTACTGTATTAGTCCTAATTAATAATTTTTTTTTTTTTTGCTGAATATCTTCAAAATGTTTCCTTTCAAAAGAATTCCAATTTTGAAAAAATGTGGCAATAGAACTCAGGATGGTAAAATGATCACAGATTACCAGTAGAAAGACTTGGGTGGAAATTCTGACTTCACCCTGTGACCTTAGGCAAGTTTCCTGATTTCTCTGTACCTTAGCTTTTTCATTCTTATATAAAATTAGGCAATGATCAACACCTAATTTTTTGACAATTTCATAAAACATCTCTGTGAACATATGGTGTACCAGGTTCTTTTCATTATACAACTGGCTTTTTAATACAAGTTTAAATATAGAGGCCTTTCTTCAGAAATGTAGTAGGGTTTAGTTACTTGCATTTCTTTCCATAATTCTTTTACATTTTCCCCAGTACCACAATACTCTTATTTCACCAAAAATCACTTTTAAAAATCATTCTTTTGCCATTCAATTTAAGAATATTTCAAATTAGGCACTGTTCTATTTTCAGTTCAGTTCAGTCAGTTCAGTCGTTCAGTCGTGTCCGACTCTTTGCGACCCCATGAACCAAAGCATGCCAGGCCTCCCTGTCCATCAGCAACTCCCAGAGTCCACCCAAACCCATGTCCATCGAGTCAGTGATGCCATCCAACCATTTTATCCTCTGTCATCCCCTTCTCCTCCTGCCTTCAGTCTTTCCCAACATCAGGGTCTTTTCAAATGAGTCAGCTCTTTGCATCAGGTGGCCAAAGTATTGGAGAGTCAGCTTCAGCATCAGACCTTCCAATGAACACCCAGGACTGATCTCCTTTAGGATGGACTGGTTGGATCTCCCTGCAGTCCAAGGGACTCTCAAGAGTCTTCTCCAACACCACAGTTCAAAAGTATCCATTCTTCAGTGCTCAGCCTTCTTCACAGTCCAATTCTCACATCCATACATGACCACTAGAAAAACCATAGCCTTGACTAAATGGACCTTTGTTGACAAAGTAATGTCTCTGCTTTTTAATATGCTGTCTAGGTTGGTCATAACTTTCCTTCCAAGGAGTAAACATCTTTTAATTTCATGGCTGCAATCACCATCTGCAGTGATTTTGGAGCCCAGAAAAATAAAGTCAGCCACTGTTTCCCCATCTATTTCCCATGAAGTGCTGGGACTGGATGCCATGATCTCAGTTTTCTGAATGTTGAGCTTTAAGCCAACTTTTTCACTCTCCTCTTTCACTTTCATCAACAGGCTTTTTAGTTCCTCTTCACTTTCTGCCATAAGGGTGGTGTCATCTGCATATCTGAGCTTATTGATATTTCTCCCGGCAATCTTGACTCCAACTTGTGCTTCATCCAGCCCAGCATTTCTCATGATGTATTCTGCATAGAAGTTAAATAAGCAGGGTGACAATATACAGCCTTGACGTACTCCTTTTCCTATTTAGAACCAGTCTGTTGTTCCATGTCTAGTTCTAACTGTTGCTTCCTGACCTGCATACAGGTTTCTTAAGAGGCAGATCAGGTGGTCTGGTATCCCATCGCTGTCAGAATTTTCCACAGTTTATTGTGATCCACACAGTCAAAGGCTTTGGC